CTTGCCAACACCTACGGACGATTACTCCAAGGACCAATAGCGCCCGCTTAGACCATTTGCATTCGTGTGAGGTTTGTATTAACTGATGTGTGTACAGCTACCACCGCCTATGTATTCAGCCTATCTGGAACAACCATCTGCGTATCCCTCAAGTAAATATATACCGTTATTGTCCCGTACAGCCATAAACTATGACCTACAGTCGACCCCCGTTAACGTCAACACTCAGGGTACCAGCAAAAGTGCTGACCATATCGAGGGTTGACGACCACCGGGGGTAGAGAATAGGTAAAATCTTTAACTACTTAATTTGAAAGGGTACCAACGAATTGGTTGACGCTATCGGGGTTGACGTTAACCGGGGTTGACTGTATTATCTTTGTGCACTTGTTTTGAAACATATCTTTATATATGTGTCAAATGCGCGGTATTGAATCGCGAGATTACGTGGAGGAGAAGCGAAAGAAGCATTAACTATGTTCAACTTTCAGTAGGACTTCATATGTGAATGATACTGGGTTCTTTGTAGCAGTATACATACTATTATATGAAGAGTCTGCATGGTCCTTTGACGGTGCTGTTGTCGCTTATACGTTGTATTTTAATGCTGCTACTGCTTCTACCCTTGCATAAAAGACTTGTCGCATACACAGATACCATTCAACTTAATATATTGACACTTCACATTCTAAAAAGCTCATTTATAATGCGTAATAATAGTAAAGAGAGCAAAACATATGCAGATTTATTGTTTTGAAATAACCAAGGAGCGGCAAACATGACCAATGAACTCTTTAACTTGATGTAATAGCTTTAAAAGCCTAGAGAAACAAAGATCGCCTGTCAGTTTTTGCATTTGAATGCTCGTCTTAACCTCGTGCATTCGCGATCCTCACGTACCTTTTGTATGTACTGCATCTTGCTTTTGCGATTTGGGAAAATAGCATCCAGAATTGTAAATCACACTGTATATGTGTCGGTGATTACATCTGTTTATTGATTTTGGATCGTAAAGCCGCACTGTATATGCGTCGGCAGCTCCATCCTTTTTTTTTCATTTTGTCTGTTGCTTCCCCTACAAGATCGAAACAAACATAGCGTTAGATAATCGGTCGACCAAAACTTAAATGTCGTTCAGATAATTCAGAGAATAACTTACCATTGATGATGTATGTTGAAGGTATGTGCTAATGCGATGCTTATGTGATTGATGTCAAAGAGATCTTCTTGGTTCATGGTTGCTGCTCCTTTAATTATCCCAGTTGTATGGTATACATTAGTTTTATACTTTGCTCGTTGGTTTTTTAGTGTGTTCCTCTTGCTCCGATTGATCCAAGTGTTCAACCCAAGCCAGCGATGGGATCCGTGGTTGTGTTTTCAGTGAGTGGCACCACGAGATCACCGACCCAGACGATATAAACTCGCTGCCTTCACCAGAATAGCACATGCATGCTACACCGGGCCTGTGGGCCCCCATACGCCCACCCATGGCCTGCAAGGCCATCATCGGCGCCCCAGCAGATGATACTCCAAGGCACATGGCAAAGTGTTGCGATGGTATAACATCGGCACTGACGTCCATGCTGCATGCATTCCAGCGCATGTCCTGTGTGGTAAGTGCATGAGAGTGGAGAAATGGGCGGTGTCATTTGTGCTGTGTCGTACAGGAAAACGTGAGGAGTGCGAGGAGAACAATGCGACTTGGATCCTCCCTCCCTCCGTGGAAGGCAGAATCTGGCGTGGTGAATGGACTTGAAATGCAACAGCATTGCAATGAAGATCGTCGGGAAACAGAAGCTCCAACAGAGACGACAACCTCGAGAACCGGATACATCTACGCATGACTAGAATGGCTTGAACATTCTAGCCAGAAACCCCATCCCTTATAACGATCTCTTTTTCCAAGTTGCAGCTAGGAAAAAACAGTCGTTATAAGGGATGCATCAAGAGCATCTATCGTTAGTGATTTCTGAATGTAATACTGATAACAGCACAGACCCACGCGTTTCCTCTTTATACGTCACTGAATAAAAAAGCCTGTACATACCATCATTGTCGTCAAAGAACTGCCTTGCATATCTCTGCTGTAATTCTGATTCTGGACTACCTACAAGACAGATGATGTTGCATCCTCGAAGCCCAGATCGCCCACACCAGATCCCATATACCCTTCCACTGTCCCCCCCGCAGATCCAAGTCGCATTGTTCTCCTCGCACTCCTCACCTTTTCCTGTACGACACAGCACAAATGGCACCGCCAATTTCTCCACTCTCATGCACTTACCACACAGTACATGACACACGCTGGAATGCATGCAGCATGGACGTCAGTGTCCGATGTTATACCATCGCAACACTTTGCCATATGTCTTGAAGTATCATCTGTTGGGGCGCCGGCGCTGCGCCGCACACAGGTCGGCCACCACTGCTCCTATAGAGTTAAAAGGGTCATAAAAGGTTAGGAATCTGTAATGAAAAGATGATTCAGTACATCGTAGTTCAAAAGAATACATACTTTACCTCCTCAAAACTTCAAGATATCAAAATTGCCTTTGCCACATTGAAGACGGTTCTCGTCTAAATAGAATTCATGCAAGCGTTAGCTATTTAGTCGCTGATCAATATACCAACTAACTGCATCGTGTATCGTATGTCACATACCTTTTTCTGGACATTGAATCCAGTAAGAAGCGCCCGAAGGCGCTTTGTCAATAAATAAATAAATAAATAAATAAAGCGGTTGGCAAAATCGGTGCGGAAATGGAAAAGTCTTGGGATGGCGGAGGACAACTGGCGGTATAAGCAGGAAGACCTATCAAAATTAGGGAACAAGTCAGTATCCACGATACACGTTATCACGCAATGAACCCCGTAAAATCCAAGTGAAAGATAACCTTACCAGTATTCATATGAAGGTTTTTTTTAGTGTTTTGATGTTTTGATGTTTTTTTGGGTGCTTTTGTAATTTTTGTACTGCTTTTTTTAAATGCTTTTGTGATGGTTTTTTGCTTTTTTTTCGGGTTTTCTGGTGATTTTCGCGTCGTACGGTACTGCAATAACAAAGAAAGTGAAAAGGAAAGGAAGTCTTTTTCCACCATAAGAAAGAAAACGATTAGTTAATAACGCGCTTGTGTTAGTTTTGCTACGGTCGATAAAACAACCTCAGTTTACTTACATTCATGGACCGTAATATGGCCAGTAGACCGCGACAAGACGGGGAGTGGGATCCCACAACATGTCTCTTTCATCGCCCGTCTCCCATTCCATGTCTACTGGTTCCTCAACAACATCCATCTCAACATCCTCCAAATCCTGCAAAAATGCTGGAATGTATGGAGGAGAGAGAAGCTGTTGTTGTTGCTGCTGAAGAAAAGGTGGAGGAGGAGGAGGAAGACGAGGAGAAGTAATAGCAGTAGCAGCAGCAGCAGTAAGAGGAGGAGGGGAAGTAGTAGTAGTACCAGTAGGAGGAGGAGGAGGAGGAGAGTGTTGTTGTTGTTGTTGTTGTTGCTCTTTCTTTGGCTGCTCTTGCGCCTTCTTCCACCCCTTCTTATAATTGAGCTGTTGAAGCCCTTCATTCGTTTCTTTACCTTTGTTTTTCAACTGTTGAAGTTGCTGCTGCATTCGTGTTATTGGTGGCGTGAATGTTGGTGCTGCAGATGATGTTGCAGGCATCAAAGCCGGGGGCATAGGTGGTGGTGGAGGTGGTTGTGGTAGCGGTATTGCTAAAGCCTGTTGTCGGTGTCGGTTCAATCGACGGACCGGTGTCTTGAAGACACGGACGTCATTGGGAGTAGCGTTCATGGACATGGCAGCAGGTTAAGGGGGAAAAGAAGTAAGGCACACGCGACATCGTGCGATATGCCTCAGCGGAACATCATTTCAAAGCCCGCCTTTTTTACGCGTTGTTAATGTGGATGATAGTTTGATTGCTGCACACACCGCCTTCCCAACGGCGCTTTCTTGTTTATCATTTACATTGTCAAAGATTCTATCCATCCGTTCAAATTCCCCTCTTAACACTTCTAAGCATTAGTTTCCCACTTGTATTTGTAATAAGAAACTATCATGATGTACATGTTTGACTCTATGATAAACATTTACTCTATGTCTTTCAAGCCACTGCTGTTGCTATAGGAGTTATGTTATAATGGTAATATCAGCATGATTAAAGCATGATATGGAATCGGTTTAACGAGTACAAATGTTTCAGACAATTTGCTTTATTTAAGCGCACATAAAACTTTATTTCTATTCATCTTGTTCTCCAACTCGAACATCCACTTGAACTAATCGTAGTATGTATACTCACTCGTCGTCAGCTCTTTCACTTTGAATATATACATATCCTTGATCTTATAGGTAAAGGGATTTGCGGATGTTATTAGATAGCGGTGCTTGGGGTGTATGATTTGGATAGGACGAGTAACATTGACGATCGGTCTTGTTTTGTAGATATGTATCAAGTTTAAAGGCCACTCTCCTGTACGAAAATAAAAAGATCGACAGTAGACTTGATCCAACCTTTTTTTATTTGATATAAAGCGCGGGAGAGGGAAGCACATCAAGCCTGAGAGACTATCTTGTGTATGTGAGATTTTCTTCTCACCAAACAAAACTAGTATAGAGAGTGAAAGTGGCTTTGTATGTGTTCTGGGGAATAATGACAGAATACTGATCCACTGTGAATCCTCGCTTATTTCTATGATACAAGGCTGCCATTTTTGAGCAATTTTGAAAAACGAAAAAGTCTCGTTTTATTCCCATGAAGGAAGCAACAAAGTTAAGCAATCTACTGAGGCTCTTTCACTTACGATTTACTACTGTAATGTAAGTAATCGATTTTCATAACAACATATGTTCTCTGTTTTATATGACAAGTTCATAAAGCATTCGTTGAAAAATAGGATTTGCTTAGGTAAAGGTAGCCTCTGTTGTCAAACTCAGCCCATTATACAAAACATACTGTTGATACAATGCAGTAGCATCATTGAACAGTATAAAAGATTACCGAAAAAATAGTTATGGACAGCATCTATATACTTTGTCATTACTCACTTATAGTAAAAAAACTCAACTCTTAAATGCTTGACTTGTAATGGAAAAGTAGTGAGGGCGTATTAAAAACATTTATCAAGTTTTACGTACTACTTTAACCTAGAGTTAGGTTATTGAAATAAGTACAAATGACAAAAGCGGGGATTCGCTGTATAACGTAAATACAATTTAAGCTGGGGAATATAGGGATGTGATGATGTGTTGGAATCTTAAAGAATGAAAATAAGCTTTTTGCTTTTTGGAGCGGGATGGTGAAGATGGTGGCGACGGTGAGGGTGATGGACTCCTCAGACGGATTTAAAGTAGGAGGCGGCATCCGTTTCATTTGTGCTCTGGACCCTTTTGATCCAGAATCGAGCAGGTACTTTCCATGATATCGTTGGGCCGGTCAGCGATAGCTTCAACACAGAAACAGTGCGGGTGATCTTTTGTTCTTTAAACTGTCATTTGAGCGCTTCATCCATGATAAGAGCCAAGCAATTATCAATGTTGCTTTCGAGTAACGAAAATGCCGGATTCTCCTCATGTATGTATTCATTGAGCCAACGCTCAGGAGCTTGGAGTAAACTAGAGCTTGGCAGTACCAAGAAACAAATTATGCATAAGGTCGATGATGATGCAACGGACAGGATCAAGGTAACAAAGAGACGTTGCAGCTCTGGCCAACTGTTCCCATTTGCGTGTTCTAGCTCTCGTCGAACCGTCATTGTCCCTGCATCCCAAAATTTGCAAAGTGAAAAGACATATGAGTGTTAAGGCAGGAAAGTAGATAGTATTGGAAAGGGAGAGACAACACTAGCACATGATACAATCGCACTCATTATCAACAATTTTTCAATTCTAAATAAATGCTAGGCTCATAAGTCCCAACTAATTTTGCTCAACTCGTTGTGACTTAGGAGGAGGAGGAACAGGATTAGGAACAGACAGCTGAGTGCAATCTCGTCGGTAATGGTATCAGTAGTGTCACTAGAAGCAGATGCTCTAGTGTTCTTTTCAGACATGGCTCAAAACAAGCGTGTAAATATTTGCCCCATATAGTGTAGTTATGTAGAGAAGAAAAAATACAAAAGTGATAACAACGTAATATAAACCGGATTTCTTTTATACACCACTTTGGCCAATCAACTAGTTTGCGTACGAATTCATCGAAAACATAACCAGATTGACAGCGCAACTATGCAAGAAAGTACCTCCCGTTGACTGCTGATTAAGTGCTTCAGGTGTGGACGAATCAGTAACTCTCCGATGTCGCCAGAATCCCGGGACAGCAGAATACACGTGAATAAAGCCACTGTTATCTACTAATAGAATGTAATATATGTTTATATATGTTTAAATGTTGTATACATTATGGCATGTAAATAATGTGCAAATACAGTAGTATGACTTGTTGTACAAGATAATAAGTTATGATAGATGCTAGCCAAAAATGAAGATGATAGTAGTAGAGTAATAGAGGTATATGATGTTTGAGAGTGTGAATATACAGTACATGTGTTAGCAGGAGGCTTCTCAAATCTTATGAAGCTTCGACTTCTGCGGCATGCGCACGCTCGTTATCGCTGCGCTTTGTTGCACGGCGTTCCTGCTGTTCTATACGTTGCTTCCACCATTTAGGACCGTATTTTATCAAGATAGGAAGAATAGCGGTATTGATCAACAGGATCAGACCAAGAGTAGTAAACATCCATCCGAGACCAATTTTGTTGATTCCCGGTTCAATTGTCGACGTCGCTACCGCACTTTTATACGATGTTAGTACAAATCCCTATTTACCATCCGTACATAAAAGAACTTACCCAAGCAAACTTCGGACAATGTTATTGGTCGCTGTAATCGAAGCACCTCGGCCTGGAAACAAGTCGATCATTAGAGTTTGGCAAACACTAAATACCGGTGTGATACTCATGCCAGCTACAAATTAGTAAGTATGAGAAACAATGAATGAGATTGTTTTTTTACCTTACCACATCATATCGTACAAACTAAAAAAATCATATTGGACTTACCGATGAACTGGAGAATAAGAGGAACAGCAAGAGGCGCCTTGGCATAAAGAGTCCATCCATAAACAACTGTGACCAGCTGTCCCAGAGTGATAGGTATCCAGGCTGAGCGTAAGCGTGCACGATAAATAGGAAAGTCCAAAGACAGCTTGCCTGACTTTTTGACCTGTTCTGGCGTCATTCCTTGTTTCCGAGCAACCACTCGAAAATCACGGTTGAGGATGCGGCCACCCAGGTACGATCCAGTAATACATCCGAAGCCGTATGGAAGATAGCAGAGGCCGACTTCCAATTGGTCTAATCCATAGATAGTCGAAAAGTGGGTAGGTGTCGTTGTCATGTAGGTATACAAGATAGCTGAATAGCAGCCATTGATGATCATAGTCAAGATCACATCGGGATGACGCAAATACAAGAACGGTTCGAGAACGTTAGGGATTTGGCGGAATCGGGACATATCCGCTTTGGGTGGCACTGGACCTTTTGCTGCTCTCCTTTTCATCCATTGTGTGGGTGTTGGATTGGCATAGCCAGAGCCATTACCAACGAGTGAGCGCAAAGTCTCTGGCAAGAGGAACAAAACAGCAAAAAATCCAACTGCTCCTACTATGAGCAACACCCAGAAAACCCATCTGTTTGTTTATTGTTTAATTAGAGTTTACTTTTTCGGGGAAACGTTTCCCCGTTTATAATCTCTCTCATACTTACCGCCATGAAAGTTGTTGAGCAATGGCACCGCCTATAACCGGGCCAATTGCGGTGGCCACCATTTGACACGATGTGAATATGCTATAGTAGCCACCACGCCTATGTGCAAATTGTTTTGATTCAATCGGTTAGAGATATTGACAATACATGCGTAGATGAAAAAAAAACTCTTATTATATTACTCTGCTGGCGTGGTAAAATCACCTATGACACCGGCGCCTATCCATGTCCGTTATGTTTATGTTAGTTTATCCAACTGATTGATCATCAATGGCAGAATTTTTATTGTATGTATCACGTACCGAGAGCGATGCCCGAGCTAGCACCAAAAGCTTGAACCATCCGCATGCCAAGAAGGAAAGGAAACGTCGGGGCCATTGCGAGACCAATACATACACCAATAAAGATGAACAGTGTTCCAAGGTACACCGGTCGACGACCCCATAAGTCGGCCAATGATCCCCAAAATGATGGCGACAAAGCTTGGAAGATCATATACACCGTTACTGTCAAATTAACGAGTGACGTTGTGATATCGAATTCCTTTTTAACCCCAAAGAGAACGAGCGTATTTCCGCTTTTGGTGAGTAAACTAGTTTTTTTTTTGATTCTGCTCTCTTTTATCCCGCTCCCATCATAATGCTTGGGGGAATCTTTTTTAAATGCTAATAGCAATTACCTCGCTTATGAGGGTCAAGGCAGGAAAATAGATCGTGCCAGAGAAAGGGGATACAAGGCCAGCATATGATACAATTGCACATATCAATAACTTTTTGGACTTTGAGTAGAGGCAATACGGTTCAACTGTCTCAGATTGTTTTTTCTCAAGTTGTTGCTGAGGAGGATCAGGCAGCGTTTCATCAACATTGCTGCTTAAGCCCTCTTCAGCAGTGATGGTATCGCTCATATCCCTGGAAGAAAGTGTGTTACTACTTTTTTCGCTCATGTGTTCTGTTGTGAGCGTAGATAATATTTTAGGAAGAAGAGGAAAATCTGTAGGACTCTGCAGCAGCGACGTTGCACACTCCTTTTTATACTTTTTTGAATTCCGCGGCACACGGTAAGTTAAGCGAATATCGGAAAGGAAAAACATTTAAGCATTCCTTGAACACTTGGCCACTTAAATCTATCGGATCTACAGGAACTGTTGCATGTCCAGTTTCAGATCAAAACAATTTATACAACGATGATGGTTTATCTTTACCCGTACCCTGTCCCTTCGTGAATCGTGGACCTTGCGGCAATTTAATTTCATTTATCTAGCTAAACAATACTGGATGCTATACGATCAAAAGGCGGCGCTGGCTCCGCATTCTATACCGTTCCATTGTGTTGCGGATATGTTGGCAAACCTTGACACTCAGTATGCTGGTGGTATTTGATATAAATATGCGTGGCTCACCTGAGAGGTATGCTGATTTTACAATTGGTTGATATGTACTTGTTTAGAACAGTTGCACACGCATACCAAACATGGTGGTTACATTTCTGACGTTTGAAACCTATCGGCATGATTCGCCGTTCTTTCCGATTAACGTTTAATTTGATTAATACATGCGTGCTGATTGCACTATGTAATATTCTTATTTACAATGTAATTAATGAAAATCAAAAGCAGAACTATAAGTTATGGTTAAAAGTTAAGGTAATTCTAACTAATGCTCCTACTAATGCGAAGGAGCTCGATTGCTGCCGTTACGCTCTACTGCTATCTTTTTTTATCCTGCTGCTCCCGTCGTTTTCGCCACCACTTTGGGCCATGTTTGATTAGAATAGGGATAAAAGCGGTGTTGGTGACCAAGATCAATCCTATGATGGTAAACATCCATCCCAAGCCTACAGATTGAATGCCGACCTCAATGGTTGCAGTAGCCACAGCACTATCATAAACATTGTGATGGCGTGAGTTGATGAGAAAGTAGTACACGTCACAAATAAAATATGTTCTATATGTTCGCGTATGCTAGAAAGAGATCAAATTAGATCTTATTTTTACCCAAGCAAGCTTCTCACAATATTGCTAGTGGCTGTGATTGACGCGCCTTTACCAGGAAATAAATCGATCACCAATGCTTGACATGCATTCATTACCGACGCCACGCTTAGACCAACTTGATAAATGATACACAAAGATTTTATCAGTAAAATGTCGATAGTAACATGGTATAGGTACAGTAGCTAGTGATATGAAACGATTCGTACTGATAAATTGCAGAATCAGAGGAACGGCAAGGTGGGCTTCAACATAGAGAGTCCAGCCATAGGCAATAATCACCAATTGACAAATAGTCATTTGTATCCACGTGGTCCTTAGCCGGGCGCGATATATTGGGAAATCTGTAGACAGTTTCCCCGATCTTTTCACCTCTTCCGGAGACATTCCATGTTTATAAGCTGTGATCCTAAAATCGCGATCGAGCATCCGTCCCATCATAAAAGATCCACATACACTACCAACTCCGTAAGGAATATAGCATAACCCAATTTGTAAGGTATCTAGACCATAAATAATGGAAAAGTGGGTAGAGGTCGATGTCAAGATTGTGAAGAGAATAGCCATGTAGCAACCGTTGATAGTCATTATCAGGATGACGTCTGGATGGCGCAAGACTAGATAAGCATCCAGAAAGTTGGGTATTCTGTGGGAGCGTTGAGACTTGGTTGCGCTCGATTCTAATAGTGATGGATCTTTAGACAATCTTCTTTTCAGCCACTGCGAGGGTGTAGGATTGGCGTAAATTGACCCATTGCCAACGAGCGAGCGCAGAGTTTCAGGTAAAAAGAAGAGTACGGTGAATAACCCTATTGCGCCCATAACCAACAATACCCAGAAAATCCACCTATACAGTAACGTCGTTTTGTTGTTAACATATCATGAATAAATTTCGTTGCTTTTAAAGTTATACCTCCATGAGAGTTTCTGGGCAATAACACCGCCAATCACGGGACCTATTGCTGTAGACGACATCGCACAAGAAGTAAAAATACTAAAAAAAGTTCCACGCCTACATTTCATATGCGATAATTAGTAATGTTTGTGAGCAAAAAAAAAAAACAAACCCCACGTAGGTAAAAGTACAATCACTTACTCTGCAGGAGTTGTAATATCGCCAATCACGCCAGCACCTATCAAAATGTCATATCCATCATTTTAATTATCAGGTCACTGGAGCTAATTGCTGCTGTTTAGCTATTACGAACCTAATGCAATGCCTGAGCTTGCGCCGAAAGCTTGAAACATTCGCAGAGCAAGTAACGCCGGAAAAGTTGGTGCCACTGCCAGACCTGCGCAGAAAGCAATAAAGATCGTAAGGGTTGCAAGGTAGATAGGTCGGCGACCCCATAGATCAGACAGTGGACCCCAAAAGGATGGCGATAGGGCCTGGAAGACCATGTAGAATGTGACTGATAGGTTGACGAGCGATGTTGAAACAGAAAAATCCTTGTATAGAAAAAAAAACCATTATGTTCATCCCTTTGTCGTTACATTCTTTGTTTGGTTTCTCGTTCAATAAATTGTAGTGTACCTCGCTGATAGGAGTAAGGGAAGGATAATAAATTGTTCCAGAAAACGGTGATATAATACCAGCAAGTGATACCATGCATGTTATCACCAATTTCTTACACCTGGAGTGAATACAATGAGGCTGCTCTATTGCTGTCACTGCTGCTGATGACAGTCTTCTAGTATGTTGGTGATGTTCGGCAATATCATCTGATACTGATCTTTTCTCTTCGATGTCTCGAGCAGTTTCTTCATCGGTGGTAATGACGCTTTTATTTGTCGTTGAGCATGTATCGTCGTGCCTTTTGTTACCGGTGGAAACCATGTATTAGCTGTATGATGTGAGGCTTATGGAAAAAAGAAAGGCCACGAAATAGATACGCGATAACATATTCATTTTTTTTATTAAAACGAAGTTTTTTTCTGAGAAACATTCCCGCAATTGGCATATATACCCACAGTCGCCCTTTTTTTGTGATCCGCTATCAAGGTTCAAAAAAGCGTACAATTCGTCACGAAGACTACGTATTCTGCCAGAACGCGTTTACATAATGGTTTCAGCATTGTTTATATCATGTCTGAAACGTTCAAAATCTAAAAAGAAGAGAAAGAGATGTGCGACCGTTCTGATTACTAGTAATTTTATATACGACATGATGGTATATAAACATACTTTGGCTGTACTTTTTCCCGCCACACACACGGTTAGACTCGTGCATCAAAAAAAGGAAATGCGCTTACGTGAATTATAAACAAATCGAGTATGTGAACGAAATGAAGTAGAAATAACATACTCAAACACTCGGTACTCATGTAGGACGAATGGCGCATCATTTTCCCTAACTTTGATGGCGACATTATACTACCGGTGAGTTTATATGTACATCATGCATGAAGATCATTTTAATAGAACATATACAAAGCTTTTATTTCATTTATTCAACTACATAGCTGCATTAGTGGAATGGACGGAACTCACATGACGCATATATAAACAACTAGCAATAGTACTGTAAAAGCTACGACTATATGTATCATACGCAAGCACGATTTATTATTGTTGACTTCAATCGTAGTCTTTTTACTGGTAGTGTGATACGAAAACAGGCTAATTGCTGAATAGTAAACTAAACCTCTTATCAAAATGTAGTAATAATTCTGTACATAACTTGCTGGCAGCAAAAACAATAAGGAGTATTCATGGAGATTTTGACCGTGAGAAACAGCAATTTGGACAACCTGTCATGAACAGAAACGTGATCTTTGGCACAGGGGGAATTCTGGCTTGCCAAAGTAAAAATTATGATGCCTTGGGTTACCGCTTTGCAATGGATGAATGCTGTATTTGCGTATTGACATCAAGGTAATTTTTTTTTTGATATGAAGGCTAAATGTCACAGCACTACGCTATATAACACCTTAATTTTGCAATGAAGGATATCAATGTTACCAATCCCTCCCGGCTCAACTTGTACATTGAAGAAGTGACACTTCTTCGACAATGGCAAGGGAACGACTGCTTAATACAGTATATCTCATCGGAAAACTCAAAAGGGAAAACCAGAGTACATTGCAGCTCTGAAGAAATGCTTTGGTAAAGTAGGTTCAAACGTTCCAATCAGCTTCCAAGAATTGCGTTATACACAAAGTAAAGAACATCATTCAAGTTCAAAGGTTCAAGACCCCTCGTCTAGACACACATACACGTATAGTCACACTCACACACACATATACTCCTCCTTACAGCATATTCCAAATTGTCTATCTTCTCGTTCTCATTATTTGTCCCCACAACATCGATTTCAACCGTCCACAGTCTAATTCTCCACCCTAACTTTTTTCCCCATTATACTCACTTTTGGTATTCCTCATTTGTAAGTATTCTCCCACCTAATTCTACCGCAAGGTAGCGACCGATTACACAAGGTCACTAAATCTTCCATAAAGATAAATCTGCATTTGAACTATTCACTGATGTTGTATGTCTATCTTTTCCCAGTCAATTTTTCAGTAACTAGCTACGACTGGTCATGTAATTCGTGTCGTAGTCCAAACAATTAGGGGCTCCCTCCGTTTCTTCAACATATCTTGGCGAGATGCCCACCAATTTACTATTCGTTCTCCCCACTTATTAAATCGACTGGTCTGGCGACATTGCTTTGAAACGTGCGCTTGGCATCAAAACTGTCCCGGTAATATATGTAGGATTTAGATAAATATGTACTTGTTTATAGGATGTTCAAACTAAAATGTAACACTGGAGTGAAAAAAAAAACACCTCACCATTTTTTTTTCTCTTTTGCTCGTCAGGTACTTTATTTATTTGGCTCCTAGGTAAATTATCATCAGTATACAATAACAACCAACTAACAGCTCTACTGCTTCAAAGATGATGCTTCCTATTGCTTTTGCGTATCGTTTCAAATCATAATGGCACGATGAATGGGAAGATACATCAGTAGCATAAATTTTCAGGGCTGAAGACCGTGCCACCACATGTGTATGGGATTGTGGTCAGTGATGATGGTGGTTGAGTGGCATGTCAAAATCTTCAATTGTACCACACCAAAAAAAAAACTCAGCAATCCCCCAAAGCAGGGCCCAAAATATTTTTTTTTGTTCAACCTCTCTTTTTTTTTTACAACTTTAATTTCTATCATGAAAACTCAAACCGTAGCTCTCTGGACTGCAGCCACAGTCGCTGCCTTGGGTGTTGGATACGTTGCCTACTTTGACTACCAACGACGCAGCGATCCCGAGTTCCGCAAGAAACTGAGTACGTGTGACAATAACAAAGCAAGCAAAACTAGAAATACAACAACAACAGCAACAGAAAACGCTTATCCATACCAACGCTTTTTTTATTCGATCCGGATGATTGTGGATTATGTATATTAGAAAAGGCACGTAAGCATGCTGCCAAGGAAGCCAAGAAACAAGAGGAAGTCGGCCAAGCGGATACTGTTAAATTGATCGAATCCGTTATCGTCGCCACTGCCCAAGAAGAGTTCCCTACCTCACCAGAGGAAAGAGAAAAATACTTTATGGCACAAGTTTCTGCAGGTGAAACTTTGTGTAGTCAAGGTAAATTCATTATAGCATTCAGGAAAAGGAAAAAAAACTTTAAATGAGAGAAGGAAATGAGAGAGAGTTTTCCCGGGGGTGGGGGAGGTGGAAAGGCCATGTTCGTGATGAAAGAAAATATACTTAATCAATGTGCATTGGAATGTATCGTTATAGGTGAAGCTTACTACAATGATGCGGTACTGCCATTCTTCAAGGCTCTCAAAGTCTATCCCGCACCCATGGAGCTCTTGATGATTTACCAAAAGACGATTCCTGAACCTGTGCTTCAAATCATTCTCAACATTGTCTCCATTGAAGTAAGTCTTATTATATATACGCGGGTTTGACACAAAGCTACAAGAAATTTCTCGTGGTTATAACTGACTGGGGGAACACTTTTTTTTTCTAGCAACAAGCGGCCGAGGCAGCAGGGGCTACTCCTGGCGGACAAGCATCAGAAGCAGCATCAGCAGCTGAACCAGAGGAGATTCCGATCGAATAATTGATAACATCTGTAAATACTATTAATAGCAGTAAAATACAAAAAAAAAAGCAAGGAAATACGATATGTATATAATGGTACATTGATATAGAACAAAAAAGCTGCTGCAAAGCACCACACTCACACACACATATATATATGGGACCCATTGAGCATTTCATCGTACGCTTTATGTTTCCAGAATAAACTACATTCTCGCATAATATCTGTAGTAGCTGTAATCCCTTGGCTGGTGCAACTTTGAAGCTGAAGGGGATGGTGACATATGTAGACGTAGGCGCCGTGGCAGCGTGTCGATAAAGGCTGCATATAGCAGAGGACTTAGTATGGAAACCTTGCAGGACGTCTCGCGCTGGATTGGATTATACGTGATTGGATGCTTTGGAGGATCGCCGCAATGCGCACTTTGTCGCACATATGGCGCAGGATATGGAACAGATCATTCGGCAGGTGTCCGTGTATGATTGATCATATATTGCTGCTGTCGACTGAATCATAAGCATACTTGATATCCAAATGTGCGAGTATTGGTGATCCACCCTAATTCGCTTGATGGCGCCGGATGAGCATGTGTAGGAAAAAAAGCTTGATCGAGACTCCAACGTAGGTATAGTTTTGACAAGTTGTGGTAGAAGGCAGCGTTCCAGGATTTTGCGTAGGACACTGGCAGCAATCGCTTTATGGGCTTGAGCTTAGCTTGCGCTAGGAGCTCTCGCAGTTCGGTCCCGAATGGGAAGTGGATTGAATAGACCCTACTGCACATCAATGATATACGACACCCAAGACCCACGAAGCGTCTGGCGAACTGTGTAACGTGCGGGCGTGGCGATGGCATGTAGACAATCGTGTATCCAGAATGAGAGGTGCTGGTGGTTGCAGGATGTACGTTGAGCCCAATTACGCTGCTTTTTCCGTCGGTGTACCTGGAACTGACTTTTTGACATTATCACTTTGCGATCTTTGCGTATTACGGTGGATCAGGTTCTACTGGTTGCTGTCAGCGGTGTTGTTTTTGTTTGTGCTGCTGGTGATCCTGATGTTGTTTGTCTCTGCTAAATCGATCTTGCCCAGCTTCTCATTTCTAGAGTGGTTTGCCGTGCGCGATATATTGCTCGACTACGTTCTTATACAGCAGTGACTAGCACCACGTTGTGGTCACCATTCTTTTTTATTGTTTTTGTTTTGCACACAAGCGTCTATTCGGTGGAATAATCGCACGGTACTTTTACATAAATACATGCCGATGACGATCATCTCTCTTTTCTGAAACTTGAAAACTGTGACATTATATATCCAATCTATCACAGGGCCATTCTGTTGTCGTTATTTCGATATACATATATGAGATAAATATGAAGTTTCGGGGGAAGCTCTTTGATGATGGTGCTTTTATGAATGATGAGGTATTTGATTTGATAACCTGAATAATGATGTAATTTATCATAATCGAGATCGGTGGGTGCAATGGTGCAAAAGCAAGTAATCCTATTAATTGCTAGGGGAGGTATTACAACAGTACATGATACATCACCATGATATAAGTTTACGAATACACCACGCTATAATACTTGTATATATGCTACAATAATACTGCCTGCTGGATTACGAAAAGTACACGAATACGGTAGAGTCTAGCAGCAGAAGCAGCAAATAACCAACAATGCATATACAGTATATTGACATTTATAAGCACCGGAGCGGGGATGGGATGGTGTGAATGATCTGATGTAGAAACTCTATTCAGATCTGTGAGCAAATATTTGTCGGGGATGCTTTGTATTTGTAAATATTGATGTAATAACTGTATATACTACACTCATCTACACCCGTAAGCCATCTTAATTCCCCGAATCCTTTTTGTACTCTCTTACTCTTTTTGTTGAAAGATAGAGAACAGTGATAGAAAAAATACATCATGGTAGTCAGCAGCAACACACTCGTACCGTGTCAGCTAAACAAATAAGAAAGAACAACCCCATCACGTAACGTAGATTTTCTTCCTCCTGCGTCATGTCTCTACTGCGGTGGATAGTACGTATGCATGTACAATAGATGCATGATCATTATAAACAATATGATATGCATGCTCTAGAAAGATAGACAGCACGATTGCATACTTCTGAGCTTCTTTTCGAATGGTCGTCCCACAGAGTCTTTGTCCCTTTGTGCTATGATGATGTGCATATATATCAACATACATACAATAACCTTGTTAACATAAGGTATAAAGAGTGTGGGGTTTGGCTGAAAGATGAGACAAATAAATGGCGATTGTTATTATTACTAAAATCAGTCATTGTTTTTTTGTTCTGGTACATTTAATAGAACTATTTTAATGCGACAGCAACAACAAATATAACGACCATAGCTCGAGGTTATTAAGCGCGCGAGAGAGAGAGAGAGGGGGGGTAGTTGATCCAGCTATTAGCAGTAGATACCAAAGACAACTAATAACAGCAATCCTATTTTATCTTGAGCTGGACCCGTTTTTCTATGTTTGAGAGGAGAACAGGAATTTTTTTTTCTTTACACATAAAAGCAAGTCTATTAAAGTTGATAGTCATTTTGAGGGAAAAAGAATACCGTGCATATACATTTTTATTTGAATCTCGTTGGTGCATAATATGCATCTATTATGCTAACTCCACTTTCTATGGATTGTTTCTAATTAATAGCTTCAGGGTCAGGGTGGACGTGTATGTATACTCATCAAAAGACATACTTGAGATTTGACATATATACACACTGGGGACCTCATTATCATCATCTTCAGAACCCGAATCGAGATGCCCAAAACCACATTCGTCAATTTCACCTGGTGATTTTTGAATTCACCTATTCCGGCAAGTTTCAACCCCGGACTTTTCATTAACAGCGACGTGGATGGCCCCGAATATCCTTTCCATTCGCTTCATCTGACAAGAAACGTTGATTATCATAGAAACTGTGATAGGGTGTGACACATGCTTCTTTGTAAACTGGATGTAGTAGAGTATTCTGTGGTACATAGAAGCATGGTTAGGAGCTGTTGTTGTCAATGTATCATTCGTAGATGTAGTATAGAAGAGAAGATCATCTACTACTCTAGAAGAAAGTCATCGAAACAAATAGAAAGGCAGCAAGAGGTGTCGTAGATCACCAAAATAAAAACGGCGAGTGGTCGTTCCTGATCAGCAGTCTCAAAGGCTCTTGATGATAAAGTTTCCGAAAACACAGAAAGAATCAACTCAACAGGCAGCATACAGTATTATACACGCAGAAAATGATGCATAAACACAAATGAATGGAGTTGCAATTATTGGTGCTAAAGAGAAAAACCCCCTCTCTTCTAGCTTCAAATACACACACACGGCTGCTCCGGATGGGCGAGATACACTGCATTTTTGTGATGGGGGAGGGCAATAAGTTGTTGTTCTAGGCAACCCGAGCAACCGTCACGGTTTCTTCGCATCTCAACTGCCAATCGAGCGGGTAGTCGTCTATCACGCGCATTGCAAGGGTTACCAAACATTGTGTTTTCCACGAGGAATGAAAAAAAAAAAGTGAGGTTTCGCGCTTTCTTTTGACTGATACAACAAACTACAACTTTTTGTCAAACAACAAGAAAGGATCTACAAGAAAAGATGGGCGTGTCCCGGTGAATTTATGGGAGGGAATAATTCTTTTGCCTGCCACAAAGAGTTGATCTTGTTGAGCCGGGGTGGGGTACAAATGGAAGAAAATAGAAACGGGGGATCCAAGCAACCAGGTTTTTTTTTTTTTTTTTTTGGAATTCATGCAGCGTGGTGGCTGTCAAGGCAGGATCCTCGAATGTGATTGGTTCACTCGTGCGAAAGTAAAAAGTTACCAAGTTGGGACATATCGCCCGATGTGATTCCGGGGAAAACGAAACCATTGTTGGGCTCAGGGCGAACTGTGGGGGGAGAGAGAGAGAGAGAGGGTAACAGCGCAGCAGCAGCAGCAGAAAAAAAAAAGTACGAAAAAGAGAAAAATTCTTATCACCCGTCACTTTGGGATCATTTTTTTTTTTTTTACCATCCAGCACCCAGCGCTGCTGCTGGGCTTGGTCGGGCGAGGAGCGACACAAAAAAAAAAAGTATATAAAACGGAGGATTCGGCAACAAAAAAGTAGCGTCTTCTTTTTCCTTATCTCTTCTTTTTTCTTTATTTCCTTGTTCAGTTTATCAGAATATAAAAACAGTTATCGGTTACTCAAAGCATTGGAATGCACCGATCAGTAGCATATCTGCCTCGTACTACCCTCCGACATTGTTTGCGCCAGATACCATCTCCACCGCAACAACCACCACCACAACCACAACAACTACTACCTATTCCATCCTTCACCAGCCCCTCCGCTAACTGCTACGCTCGCTTCCAACGTGCGTACTACTCATCCACTGGCTCTCGCGCTTCTTCTTCTTCTTCTTCCACCCACTTCTCCTCACCCGCCTCATCACCGCGTGCATTCAAGACCGGCATCGCTGCTGCCACCGCGCTTGTCTCTGGATCTCTCTTTTACCACTATTGCTGGAACAAGGATCGTCCACTTATCAACGTCTGCTATGCCGAAGCAGAAAACAAGCTCTCCATCCTTCCCATATCCGCCTTCAGCTCATCCACACCCTCTGGAACGATAGCCGAACTGGCCGATGACGAGAGTCGTGTGGCCATGCGGGCCAAGTCAAGCGAAGAGTTGATGCTCGCATTACTCGTCTACAGTCTCTGCTCTGTCCCCATCTTTGTTGATATGGCGCCCCACATCATTAATGCTGCAGAAGCATTGCATCTCCAGGGACCTTTGTTCTGGCTCATCAAACGTACGGTGTTTCAACATTTCTGTGGCGGTGAAACCCCAGACGAATGTGCCCACTGCATGGAGCGCTTGGCCCAGTCTGGGATCAATGTGATTCTCGACTTGAGCATCGAAGCCGATCTGCATCTGGACGCCAAAACGCCACCCAAAACGCAAGGCTATTACCCGCATTTAGAGCATCGCGCCGATGTCACGGTTGAGATGATCAAGGAATGTTTGCGGACAGCCGCCAAAGGCCGTGAGCTGTGCGGCGATACGTTTGGCGCTTTTGCTGCGGTGAAAATCACCGCATTCGCACCGCCAGAGCTCTTGTTGCGCGTGAATCAAGTGCTTGTACAGATGGAGCAGGCATTCGATGCCTGGCAGCGTGGCGACGGTACGATCGATAGCGAAGGCTTGGAACAGATTGTTCATTACGTGCTACCTCCAGCAGGCTCGCCAGCGCAAGAAAAGAAACGCCAGGAAATTCTGTCTCGAATCGACGCGCTGGACCGCATTGAAGCAACCAAGCTATTCGATTTGCAAGGCAAAGACCGCAATGTATGGTGGTCAACCGAAGAACTGCATCGTGAGAACACACCGCTCACTTTTGAAGAACTTCAAGCCTACGATCGCATGGTGAACCGCTTGGATCAGGTTTGTCGAATGGCTCATGATAAACATGTCGGCATCATGGTTGATGCTGAACAGTCGTATTTCCAAGAAGCTATCGATCACGTAGCCATGAATCTCCAGCAAAAGTACAATCGTCGCGATGATCGTGAGCATACGCCAACTGTATACAATACATGTAAGCTCTGCAGTTGCTTTTATGCTTTCTAACGTCAATGTCTAATTCATCACTATTTTTTAATTAGATCAAATGTACACCAAGGCTGCTCAAAAGAAACTCGAACGAGATGTTGAACGCGCCAAGCGAGAAAACTTTGGGTTTGCTGCTAAGCTCGTCCGTGGAGCCTACATGGTCATGGAGCGAAAGGTAATGCAGCGGTTGTATTTTTTCTTCGATGCCTTTTATTCCAAAGCGAAAATTAAACTCTTTTTATAGCGAGCTGCCCAACTCGGTTATCCATCTCCGATCCACGACACGTTGGAAGATACCCACGACTCGTACAACAACGGTGTCCGATTCCTCCTCGACAAGCTCCGTGAGCGTCAAGAAGCTACTGGCGAGCCTCTTGCCTCGACCACTGCACCTGTGGTCTTTATGATTGCCAGCCACAACCGCGAGTCAGTAAAGCTGACGGTCAAGGAGATGGAACGCCACAATGTGTTGCCTCGCTCCGGTGTTGTCCACTTTGGCCAACTCTACGGCATGCAAGATCAACTTTCATACACGTTGGGCAAGAACGGATACTCAACCTACAAGTATTTGCCCTATGGCAAGATTGATGAAGTAATGCCTTACTTGCTGCGCCGTGCTCAAGAAAACTCAACCATGCTTGGCGGAGTCAATAAGGAACTGACGTTGATCTGGCAAGAACTCAAGGACCGTTGGTCTGGTAATCGAGGCGTGGTGGTTCGTCCCAAGGCCATCGCCGGTTCTCAAACTACGGCTGCGCCTGATACTGGAGCCGCTACCACTGAAGTTGATGTGGCTACTGAATCTACTGCCAATACCGTTTAGAAAGAGAATGATGGAGCCCCCCGTACCGTTGTTTTCCTTTTCCCCCCCAAGGGAATTCGTCATTAGAGAAAACGTTTCTAGTTACTTTTAAATTATCGCCATCAACTGAGATCTTTTTTTTTCCCAGTTCTAATCCTTTGTATGATGTATTCCTCTTATTTCCCCTCATTCCCCTTCCTTTGATGATCTCCTGCTACCTTGGGAATGGGTTGCCTTCTCGTCCTTGTTTCTTTGTAAATATTTTTCTTTTTAAAAAATCTCATATAAATAAAAAAAAAAAGCCTGTTGTTTTCTCATCATCATCATCACGCGATCCATTTTATTAGAGTTAACACTGCTTTGCATGCGTTCTGTTCACGCATGCAGTCATGCATAATAACGTGTTAGAGACCTGCTACTGCATATAATAACAACAACATATTATGATAAGTGTGTAACTATCATCATCATTTCTTTATTATTCCCTGGCTGCTGCTGCTGCTGCTGCTGTTGGCGTCGCCGGTGCCACTGCTTGCCATCGATGATGATATTGAATCCGAAAAACTGCATTTCAGTAGTTTCCATCCTGCATCTAGCGAGAGTCTGTACAACATACATACTGGTTAGCAGCAGAACATACAAGTTACACAAGGATGGCATATGCCACGTGCTTCTCTGTTTACCTTCGTTCCGGTAGCATGGGGTACTGTTTGAGAAGATCTCTTTAGCATCAAACTTAAAACCCACAATAATCGGAAACTCTATCTCACCTGCAGTTTTGGTATCGGTTTTATAGGTTCTCCATACAGGAAGCATTTAAAGTAATATGCTGAAAAGTAGTGTGCGCTTAGCCGTTTCCACAAGAGCATATACTGAAAGAAAATAGCACTGAACGGTATAGGAGAGTTCTATATGTTTTGTTATTGTTGTTATTATTTAAACTTGTGTGATATGCTTCCCGCAATTTGCTACATCCATCCGTCTCCTTTCCTAAATTGCAAGTGTACTTACCCACATCCATAGATACGACCCTTGCCGGCTATGATGAATGACACGTTTGAGATTCCTGTGAGGAGCCGTTTCGTACTTGGCTTTTGGACTCTTGAATCGAACCGATTTTTTACGTTGGTGCCGGGATCTTCTGTGTGTCGATCGCCGAATGGATGGGGGTCTGTTGTCATCTGACCGCTTTCCACTCCCACACAACCGCTGTAATACATAACGCAGTCTGTGCCGTCGTTTCAAAAAGCAATTTTGTTCAAATATATCGAACCGCAAGCCTCCTATAGGAAAACAACAAAAAATAAAAATATTAGCAGCCCCGGATATACCTTTTTTTTTCCCAATCAGATGAAACTCACCTGGTAGACGATCAGGATCCTTCATTCGTAGCATGATGGCAAACAATGGGAAATGGTTAAAGAACGCCAAAAGAGTCTCCATGATAGCTTGTAGGAAAATGACGCCAACTCTTCCCTATGGTTTATCTCCTTTTTTTTTAAGTTATCAAGCAGCCGCATTAAGGTTTTTCCTTTTCACTCTTACCAAAGCAAATGTGACATAATAAATCAGCACGGTTGGGAATAAGAATGTCAGCAGCGTAAATAGACATGTTCCTAGCAACAGCTGATCCAAATCGTAGTCGCACGCGTCAATGCGATGTCGTAGCATATTTCGCTTCTTGCCTTTATGATATGTTTCTAGTGAGCATGACTCGATCAAGAAAGTAAAGAACTCGAAATGCATACCTCGGAAAAGATTGAATAGCGAATACAAAGTAATAAGCTGCCAGTTGAATATTCGTGCTGCTACCATATAAAAGCAATAGACATGCAGGGTCATAAATGCTAAAAAGTCGGAAAGCAAGGAAATAATCATCGATACACCGAATATTCCTGAAAGCCCGATAATGTGGATGATTTGAGGCGTCAAAGGTTTGATGGCCTGCATACATCCTAATTCCCCCCCCCCCACCCCAAACCAGAATTTCTTATTAAGTAATGGAGAATCTTCTCTCGTTTGACACAACGCATTTGATCCATTATTTGCGTACCTGTCCACAAGCGGATGAGCCATAGAAAAAGTTCGCTCAGAAAGCTCCCCAATTCGTGGTTAAGTTTCAGACCAGCTGGCGACTCTAGAAACCATAGCATCCTTGACTGTAATGACTCGACAGTGTATTCCTAGTTGTAGTTTTGTTTCTCGCGTTAATTCTTCATGCACTGTTTTTCCCTATTTTCTTTTAACAAAGCTTACATGCAATATTTTGTGTAATAAGTAGGACATGATATATCGATTTGTCGTCAAAAACGATCCAATGGCAAGTCCAATAATAATATCATTTGCCACTAACCACATGCTATTGTAAAAGCTTATATACAAAAGTTATAGACCCGATTAATATTTTCTCTTTTCACAAACTTCAGGATCATTTTATCCATGGCATCTTCACTCTACCTTATATAATAAGCTCGTGTTTCAGCTGTATTAGCCCAATTCCTCCTCCTTAGCATTGAGTATTGTCGTGGCCAGAAGTAGAGTTGTTGTAAGCGAAGATCAATCTGCTGACCTATGGATACATGCTTTTTAGTAAACTGACTCCCGGTTCAAAGGAAAAAAAAACTGCGTGTATGAATATAATCCAATGACCAGTGGTGCACATACCAGCAGTAGACAAATCCTTGAGAGCGACAGCATTCAACACAAACTTTGGAAGTCGCATATTGATGATGTGTAATGTAACTTCCGCCAGAAACAACAGACCGAATAGGAGGCATTTTAAAGGACCCAACGCAACTTTTCTCGCACAATACCAGATGATGGAGAGTGGCCATAGTAACAGCGTCACAATCCACCCTGAGAACTTTTTAAATGCAACCTCCCAACGCCTTGCATCGTTTTGTTGTCGTCGTCGTCGTTTTTCCAGAATCGATTTTTCGATGCCCTTTTCGAGATAATAGGACGAATTGATCTTTGTGTGTGTGTGTGTGTATAAGAATTTCAAAGTTAAAATTATCTTAAGATTTTTGGAAGAACATACCACAAAGCCGTACACTTTCTATTTTTTTTTTCACTTTACCTGAACTAATGCCGATAGTAAGTCATTGGTAACTGTATCCGAGTTTTTGACGATGGTGGCGCTGTAATTAAGGATCTTGTTGAGATTTTGTGTAGTGACAAGTTCTTTTTCGTCTTTATGTTTTGGCGGCTCTTTGGGTGATATATCCAGATCAAGCGGATCCAGGGCGAGGAATTGTAAATGTTTTGGATTAGGTTGTTGATAGAATACGACTTCGTACGTCGATATGGGACATTCGTTGCCGTTTTGATATAGTGAACTATATCAACATGAAAAATGTGAATTCTACTGACATTGGTGTTGTTTTCGGGTATAGCTGTTGTTGCATATATATATATATATATATTTAGAGTCGATGGAAAACAACGTACACTGGTATAGGAACATATGCATCGTCCATAAGAACTGTCACCCACGGGTTTTCTATTTCAATGGGGGAAAAACTATCAATTACTTTTCCTTCAGGCATAAAAAGATACAACGTCAGGTTGGCCCTCCTCAAAAATCATAATAATACCATGGCTGCGATGCTCATTTGCAAGTTGAGTGTTGTCTTCATCCTTGATCAACGAACCCAAGATTCTAGGTGGCTCTTTACAGACTCTATTGATATGGGTGAATTCTGAGTATTCACCCGAAGCACAAAACTCGGATAGAATTTGTTGTAATTCGTCAAGCTATACATGATAAAACCCGCGTTGTAAGTTTTTGCGTGTTGGATTTATGCTGTTAACTTGAGTGCCTGTGTTCACTGTGCGCATATATACACACACACACATATAAAAAACGCGCGCGCACACACTGGGTTGTTTCTTTTTTTACCTCAATGTCAGACACGACTGATGCTACGCACAATGTAGTCGAAGCGGTATGCCAACCCACTAAAAAGCCATGCTGTTTAGTTCGCCATGAAGAGATGTGTGAGGGCCAGAATAGCTTGAATGCATCGCGCTTTGACATGGACTGAGGCAATAGGAACGTTTGCACCACCACCTCGCACACCACTAAAAAGCAGTGAACAATTTAATTTTAAAGGGCCAAGCGGTGTTGGAAGCACATATCCTTTTGCGGCAAGAAGCTTTCTTCAGCAGTATAACCTAGCATAAAAAAAGTATCAGTTGCAATTGTTGTGTTCTTGGGTGTTTTCAATGAAATTCGAGAGTAAGCGAAGGTTACGTCACAATGAGTGGTAGAAAGGAGCTTTATAAACGACTGATTGTACATATTACAGGAGAGTACTGTATGTATTTATTCTATCTTGAATGAGTACTTTCATAATGCGCTCTCTACTACGTCTTTAAAAATGGTACAAACGGAAGTAATGTAGCAGGCGAATCTCGAAAAGAAATTCTGCTGTACATACCATATCATACAGTATGTTCGTCAGTAGTACTTTCCTTGCCGTCCTAGTTGAGTCGAGGCTTCAAACAGAATGAGTCGCAACCATTCTTGACTACAGTTTATACGTTCCCATCAATATATTGGCTTTTTATATCGCTTTTGCTATGTAGGATTTGTCATCCAGACTTTTTGATTATTGAAACAGCCATTTTATTTTTCTGTTCATTTTTACAATATAGCGGATGACAAACAAAGGGCCCAAAAAACAATGAAAAATGTCTACTGCTACAACTACACACTCACTAAGTGCTCTTTGCTATGCAGTACTGCAGTACGATGACGACGACAGTATCGCAGAGACTCTTATTTCCCACCGCCTAATCCGATTCTTCATCGGATTCTTCCATCAAGCTTTCATATTTGCTTTTGCAGGAAGCTACTGAACGGTCAAGCTTTTCAGATATATCATTCCAGGGCATATGTCGAGCACGGTAGCGGAGCAGATTGCATTCGTCTCTAGTTTTCCACTTTCCAGCACTGTTTTTGGAGGTTTGCGAAGAGGACGGAGATACGGGTTTCTTGTCGATGCTACCGTTGTTGATGCCGACGCTGCTGCTGCTGCTGCTGCTTCTCTGCGATGTAGTTGAATCATTTCGAATGTCTTTATTCTTCGACGAAGAAGTGCCGAGGGAATGTTCTCGGCTCTTTTCTGATGTAACCTTGCCTTTTTGGTTTTCAATCGACGGAGATCCACGGGGGGAAGGAGAGGCATCATTCATCATGGTAGCTTTTGCAGCTTGCGACGGCATGACCACCATCATTGCCTCGCGCCGGCCACGGTCGAGTTCGTTTTCCGTCAGGTGATACTTGTAACAATTTTTGCATTCTTCTGCCGAGTATCCCAAGCTCTTGGCAATGTCTTTCCAGCTAGGACGTGGTTCCTGGAATACCATCTTGGCCAGGCTGCGGCGATCCCACAAAGGCAATGGAGTCATAGTTTTCTATAATAGATCATTTTTTTTTCAAAAATGTCAATACTATGCATGTATACCGCTCAATGAAGTCATTTTTTATATGCTGAAAGGAGATATTTACCTCGGGATCTAGTTCAGCGCGCTGATACATCTTGCGACAAGACGAGGATGAGTGAGGTTCTTCGAGTTTATCCTTGCAATGGTTGTAGATGCGCTCCCAATTCCAGCGCGGGTAGTTCTTTTTGGTGTTGAGAATAAGTTGTCGGTCGTGCTCGGTCCACATATAGTGTCAAGTTGCCTTTGCTGATAGAATAAAGAAGAGAGTGTAAGTGTTTGGTTGGTTGGAAAAAAAATAAGCAGTGAGATTGAGGTTTGATTTGAAAACAAGACTCTTTAAATACTAAAAAAATCAGAACTAGCTGTTGTCAGTAGTAAATGGGTCTATTGTTTGTTTTCTATAGCAGTATATGCAGGGTTTATGGATTATGTTCATTGTGAAGAGATATTGTTGTCGTGATCATGGTGCGAGAATCAACCCTCGCTGATCATGGTACCATGCGACTAAAAAGTAAGCTATGAAATTGGGGAAGATTACTTATAAACCAATTCTGTCCACATCAAGCAGAAATCAACAAAGATTGTATTATTGTGTAATTTCCCATGCATGAAGCTATTAGTAAGGGCTCGAACAGTGAAGTCGGGTTTCCCGGAGCACGTATTACATAGAGTACACAGCAAATTGTGGCAATTTATCCCCTCTTCCTTGTGCTTCTCTGTTCGTAAAGCCACTTATTCACCCACAATTTTATATGTGCGCAATACGTAGCGATCGTCAGTACGCGCACTACAACCAAATGGTTATCGTGCTTAAGCCCGCCCTTACCAACCATAGTGATACGATACTGTTTAAGCACTTGAGGCCATGATATTTATGACTATACTTACCTATACCTCATGCATACTGAAGTGATGGCCTGCATGTTCAGATTGCATCCATGTACGTTTACCACATTAATACTTTAGTAATTTTATTTTGGTGTATTCAAAAGGATACACTATATACTGACAACAATATCTTCTTAAAAGGATAACAAAGGATTACAGTGTTTGCATTATATGTGACTGGTACACTAAACTGTTAACGGAATCCGAATATGAATGAACAGAATTATCGACCAGATGTCCCTTTATTATACCAACTGTATGGTTTTCAATTGTGCTATAAATCCTATCTATTGCTTGGCAACTCTATCTATGGATGATTGTCGAGATCAGGTATGACTGACGTCATCCCATGCATATGTTATCAATTCTCAGACAGCTATGTATCGAGCGATCTGACAAACGATTGCGAATCGTAATATCGAAGCTTTTCTTGCAAATGTGACGTCTCTGTTACAGGTAAGTGTTCGACCTTTTAAAGACCGGATACTTTGAGGACACTAACATCATCGTGTGCAAAACCTGAACCTTTTGTAGGTTTAAGGGCGCTCAATCGAATTAAAGCCTCGCGGCAAAAGCTTAAATTCTGATGTATTTGTATCATTGGTTCGTCAATGTTAGTCCTACTTTATCACCAAATGGCAATGGCGCACCTATTCACGGTACTTGCTGCTCCTCTGGTACTGCATTTGGGCCATCAATGCCTGTTGTGCTGGGTGTTTTGTATACACCCCAGCTCCATTGATATTATCCTCTGGCTCCTCGACGGTCATATCTTTCGTATGAAAACACACTATAAGCGTCTTGTAAGTTTTAGCACGGAATGACGTAATACAGTAACTCTCCTACAGATGACCATTCTTTATGATTCATATACTGTATAATTGTAATTCAATTGTAATAGGATACTCACAATCATTGCTACTTGTAGGCGCGTAGCGACTGGTTTGAAGCATCTGATGGTGGGTCCCTCACTCCAAACTTTAACCTGCAGCCTGCTCTTGTTGTGTAAACAACCACTTTACTTTAAATTACAGTCTAAACGTTTTTAAAATCTCGCACTCGGGTGTGATAGGCGTTTAAATGGCGATTTGCGCCTGGTATCATGTTAATTTCTTTTTTGGACAAACAGTGATGCATCATGCTTAGACATCCGGGATAACAGCACAGCATCAGGTTGTTGGGTCTGACGTACTACTTGCTAAGCGCCGCATCAAATTACAAGGACTTCAACTAGTGTCATCATCCACCAGCGTTTGTGCTCTATTTTGCATTGTCGCGCAATATGGGAGTTTGATGACAATGTCGGTGTCAATGACTTGCTCCGCTCCTCGATGGCGGAATGTATCGGATCTGGAGTACGCCTTTGATAAGACGCCCACGTTTCACTCGCCTTTTTTTGAAAGCTATGCGGCATGGTCGCATCATATTGAATACCTTACAGTCGATTTGCCTGAATGGATCTCACCCGTTTGGGTCAACATAACGGGCAGCTCGGCACCTTCGATGGTAACGTGCTGCGTCGCATATGTATATTGTTCCGGACTTCGTTCCAAATCCGCAATGCCAATTGTTCTCAGGTTTGGTTGATGTGACATGTCGCTTTCTCATTGATTGCCCACTGCGGTGGGCAGCATAAAGAACTCTGGGTTTTGGTTCTCTATGCAGAGCCGGACCCCAACCTCCCGTCCTTCACTTTGTCATCAATTCACTCGTCTGAGGATGGTGATCGTCCAATCCGTTCTCCAGGAATGCTAGCGTGTCTACAGTACTGGACTTGGATCTTTCGTTCGCGTCCCATATACACACTCGGCCGTGATCTCGCTGGCGATAAATCTGCTTGCTCAGCTTCGCCACCTTAATAATACTGGCCTAGACTAATAGACCCATAAACACCCCTCTCCACTCTCTTTATATCTCTAGTTATTCTCTATTTCCATGATAACAAATCACAGCTTTGTACATGTGCCGTCGATAATTAAGAATGTGATCTAACAGCTCAATAAAAAAAAACCCGTGTCCGAAATTGGATTTAAAATCCTGTATGTAGTCTGAGACTTATTTAATCGGCTTAAAATGATAACAACACCACAAAAGGCTACGCATCTTCTTGTCAGAATCGAAGTGATATTTTTAGTGAGTTTCTTCAAGGTAATGGTGGTCTCGCGGACGACTCAGAACTAAATTAAGCATCGGCCGATAAATTCCCTAAAAGCAATGCGTGTATCTCAGTAGATAGCCAGTAACATTACTTTTTGTCATCATTATTTCGTACCTTCGGACCCGCGTTTCCTATTTTTGAGCGTAGACAGCACTTGGTAGGTATCTTTTCCTGTTCCATAAAATACTGATACATAGGATGGTTTATAGGGACTAGTTGGCGGAAGTAGACACGGACACGTTGCCATCCGTAGCCGTTGTGATGCATGCCCAGCCTATGAATGAGGGGCTGTAAGTGCAAGTAAAACAAAGTATAGTAGAATTTGCGATAAACGTTCTCCATCGAATCCACACCGCCAAAGCCGGTAATTGTTAACGCTTTCAGATCGATACCGCAGGATTTTTTTATGGTTTCATAATGAGCGTCTATACCACCCAAATCGCGAACCAAAAATCCTTTGAGCTTGCCGGTAGATCGGTCAAATCGAGCGACAACATTTTGTAAATGGGCTTCAAAAGTGAGTCCATTATCTCGACAAGGGGGAATAAATGCCTTGAGTAACAGCCGAATATATCTTATGAAAAAAGTTGAGATATCCATTATTACATTGTGTATAGTTTGTATAAATTCTGATGGGATATTTTCCATTCATACCTGTCTAAGAACTTTGCACGTTTTGCCTCAGTATCCAAGTTCCAAGCATATGTAACCAAAATCTCATCAGTGTCAGGTCTCTGGGCCTTTTCCACAAGCGAGGAGCCGACAGCGAACAAGTCATCACCCACGGACTGGCCGTTTCCGGGAAACTCAATGGATCGACGGATTATACACGCGCAATGCTTGGCAATGTCAACATTTGGATCGAGATGATATGTACTGGCTAATTCGGCCTGAATCATGAGGATATCGCGATCGTACGAGAGCCGGGGTATAACAATCTTGCTAAAAGCTGGGCCAAACGCGACCTCCTGGGGCATTATGGTATTGAGCTTGAATGTAGTTCGAATGCCAAGGCACAATTTGACTGTGGTGCTTTCCAATATACCAGGAAGAGCCACTGTGCGCATTGACGTAAGAGCACTTGCTGTAACATGGTTAGCCTCAGGCAGTACTTCTGCACCTTTAATTTTTTGTTCAATCATAGGAATCTGAAGCTCATGAATGGGAAGTAAAAGATGGCCGGTATATTTGGTGCGCTGTCCGCACGTGTCTCCTGTCTTTGCCAGGATTGCATTTACCAAGGGAGCAGCAATCTCCTCAAAGTTCCCACACACTTGCATATCATCTTTTGGGATTGCTGCAAGGCGGATTGTAGGCCTGTCCAGTAACGGTTCGAGCGAATCTCGGTCCAGCATGAGTCGACGCATTGCAGGGTCACCAATGGCCAAAGATTTATGCACCTAACCAAGGTAGTAATATGCATCAAGCATCAACGTATCTTATCAGCGCATGCATATATAAAATGTTTTTTCTCATAACAAAAAAACCGCGTACTGCATGATGAATTTTTGCTTCTAAATTCGCCTGCTCCCACTCTACAGAAGATGATTGTAAAGTTGGGCATGGTTTCGGGAAGTTATACGAATAAGCTATTATTATATATCACGTTAGTGTGCTAGTCTGTATACAATCATAAAAAAAAGTAAAAGAAAACAATCATCTTGCTGACTCACTCTGGAGCTCTATGGAACTAGCGAGCTCTGATTCGATTTCTTCAGCTGTGCTTTTGTGAATGTCATTCTCATAGGCAAAGCGATGCCACAGCTGGACCGCGGTGTATCCATTGGAAAGTGCTATTTTAGATCCCTCTTTTTCAAGTCCAAGTTTGTGAAGAACGTTGAGGATGTGAGTACGCGTGCCTCCTGAGTTTTTGATGAATGCACTGCTGTCAGCCACCATGGCACTATCGTCTGTTCCGTCTTCTCCGGTTGGTCCATAAATATATGGCAGCATATCCCAGGTACAAACAAGTCAATCTTGCGACACCGACTTCCGTTAAGAATGATGGTTTCCCCAGCCGACGCACTTAGCTCTGGGGTAGCGCGTAGAGGAACAATAGCATGAATATCGTCAATAACGATACTGGTGGCGGGATCTGAGACGCGTCGTAGAACTAGACACACTCCAGCTATATCGACGGTTCTGTCAGGTTCATCAATGAAATATGCAGTAACATATCCCTCAAGTATTAGGCACATGATCAATCTTGAGGTTGTTGCGAACTTTCCGTAATACGCATTTTTTGCTTTAGAGATGTATTCCGTAACCATAATTTGCGGTTTTTGGCGTAGCGAAGGAGAGAAGAGAGAGAGAGAGAGAGAGAGAGAAAACGGAAGGATCTGTTTAGTAACAGGTTATACACAAATGTCGCAAAAGGAATTTTTTTTGGAGGCTATGTTTCTGCTAACGAGACCAACGAGGTTTTCATCTGGCCAATGGTCACTTTTATTTGCCAACGGCATTGTCGATTTGTCAACGACATCGTCACTTGAGCAACAGCCCTGCGTTCTGCTAACGGACATTGCTGTTTAGCTAAGAGCTCGCTTCGCTCCCCGTCATTCGCGTCCCAAACCCACTCCCCCCCCCCGTGTTAGCACTCTCACTCAAGTGTTTCAGAGTTTTTTAAGTTAGCGCTGCATAAATATCATTCCAAAGCCCGAAAAACCTCGAGCACCGATCAGCAGCATTGCAGTCAATTAAAATAATAATGGTATGGACTTCTGTTTGCAAGAGCTACCTACTACTTCTTCTCGTGCTTTTCATCCATGTGCGCGTCTCACCTTAATTTTTTTGTTATTACCAAGTCACTCTATCGATTTCTCTATACTAGAATCTTAGTTTGGGCTCAAGTACATAGCAGGAGTGTAAGGTGCGCACAGGAACAAGACAAGAAGGGACAGAAAGACCGGACGAGAATGTGCTAGGTGCTTTCAGCAAGAACAGGACAAGACAAGAAGGAAACCTGGAGGTAGGAGACCAGATGGTGAGGGAAGAAACAAGAACAAGGTATAGGATGGAAACAAGATATCTGACTGATGTTTTATTATTCAAAGACTATGGTGTTTATATATCTTTTACTATGGAATTTAATAATGCGAATAAACGGAAAGATTGGTATTAGGGTTGATAATTCGGACGATGATGATGGATGATATTGTTACTTGGGGATTTAATAAGTGATCATCGAGGTTGAGGGTGATCACTTAGTAGAGGTCGAGGAATGTTCATAACATTACCTCCCCTCTTAGGCTCGAGTAGCACGAGAGCGGGTCGAACGCCGAGGTGATGGTGGTGGAGCAGGCTTGGTCGGATGCTGCATATGAAAGTCACGAACTACGTCAGCGGCGTTCCAAAGATTTGAAGCTGGTTCCCAGGTGTTTTCTGAGGGATCCATGTATCCCTTCCACGCAACTAAATATTGCAATTGACCCCGACGACGGCGACTGTCAAGTATACTGTCGACTTCGAAATGCTCTTCGCCCTGAACTTCTACAGGAGGCAATGGCGCAGGTACACGGTCTTGAATGTCCGGAGTCGCCGGGTTATCGCGAGGCGTTAACAGGGCAACGTGGAACACTGGGTGAACCCGTAGTGCAACAGGCAAGTTCAACTTGTAGGCATGGGAGCCAACACGCGCAATGATTTTGAATGGGCCCAAGCGAGTATGGTCAAGCTTCGAAGATGGCCTAACAGTCTTGATATTTTTGCTAGAGACATAAACGAAGTCGCCTATATTGAAGACTGGTGTGGGTCGATGGTGCGCGTTGTAGAACACGGCTTGCTGTTGCTGGGCGAGGCGAATTTCACTTTTCAACGATTCATGAAGTTCTTTCAACTCCTTACAAAACTCTTCGGTAGCACCAGAGAGACCTGAACCCTGGGGCGCTGGCAACAAAGAAAAACGTGGGTGGTAACCGTAGGTGGCCTCAAAAGGAGTATGGCGCGTACTTGACTGGACAGAATTGTTGTAGCTGAATTCGGCAACAGGTAACAAGGAAGACCAGTCGTCCTGCTGGTAATTGATATACGCGCGAAGATACTGCTCCAATATCGAATTTACTACCTCAGTTTGTCCGTCGGTTTCGGGCCTGAAAGCTGTTGACATATTTGACTTGATCTGGAGCAACTCGAGTAATGAACGCCAGAAACGCGACGTGAACAGTGCGCCACGATCCGAGACAATATCATTGGGTAGACCATGCAAACGGAAAACTTCCGTGACGAAAAGGTGGGCTAATTCGCTGGCCGTAATGGTGTCCTTGCATGGGACGAAGTGCGCCATTTTTGTCAATCGATCAACAACAACCCAAATTGCATTGTGACCTGACGAGGATGGCAAACCAACAATGAAGTCCATGCTGATGGAAGACCAGGGACGAGGAGGTACTTGTAAGGGCTTGAGCTCACCGAGAGGGGCTTGACGGGAGTGCTTCGAGCGTTTGCAGGTGCGACAATTGGAGACGTAACGTTTGACGAATTGACGTAGTCCCGGCCAGAAGAAACGCCGAGCCAACAGTTCGCAAGTCTTAGCGATACCGAAGTGGCCTGAGACTGGGTGATCGTGGTGTAGCCGCAACAATTCTAACTTCAACGCATCAACATCAGGTACATAGATGCGGTCATCGAGGAACAACAATCCTGAATCATCGTCGAAGCGATACCGGCTCATCTTGACGTGAAGCTGCCTGGGTATGCTGGAAGGGTGTTGTACGAGGTTCAAGATTCTTGCGGTCTTAGCATCGTCATCGTATTTATCGCGTATTGCTGATATCAGGTCGTCATCAACAGGGCAACTAGAGACAGCCCCAAGAACGACTTGATCCTCACGAAATATGGATTTTATTGGCTGTTTATCGCTATCGTCCCCCTTCCGGAAGGCCATGTCCGAGCGACGGGAGAGGGCATCGGCCTTGGGGTTCTTGGTGCCTGGACGGTACGTGATTGTGAAGTTTTCAACTTCGGACAGCTTAATAGCCCAGCGGGCATGACGACGACTAAGGGTGCGGGCACTGGATGACATGAAATACTCGAGGTTCTTGTGGTCAGTTAGGACAGTAACTTGGTGCTGGGAGCCTTGGAGATAATGGCGCCATACACGGAAACTGTCAACAATGGCAAGCATCTCTTTGTCATAGATGTCATAATTGACCTCGGCAGGATTCAACTTGCGACTATGGAAGGCTACAGGATGATGCACACCAGTAGAGTCGGGCTGGCTAAGCACCGCAGCAATGGCAAAGTCGGATGCATCAGTTTCAACAAAGATCGGTTGAGAAGGCACGAAATGCTGCAGAACTGGCGCAGTAGTGAAGCTCTGCTTGAGTGCTGAGAACGCGGTATCTTGTGTAGTAGTCCAATCGAACGGAACATCCTTCTTCAGCAGCGAGGTAAGGGGGGCAGTGATGCGAGAGTAATGGTGGATGAAACGGCGATAGAAATTGGCGAACCCAAGGAAAACCTGAATGTCATGAGTGTTTTTGGGGGTAGGCCAATCCAAGATGCAGGTTACCTTGGTTGGATCCATGCTGACACCCGAGCGACCCACGCGGAAACCAAGGAAATCAACCTCATCGACGTCGAAATTACACTTGTCAGCTTTGGCATAAAGGGCTGACTCACGAAGTTTTTGCAAGACTAGCTTGACATGTTCATCGTGCTCTGCTTGATTGTCGCTGAAGATCAAGATGTCATCCAAGTACACGATAACGAACTGGTCAAGATACTCGTGCAGGGCATTATTAATAAGTGCTTGGAAGGAACCCGGCGCATTGGTCAAACCGAAGCTCATAACATTATACTGAAAATGACCGTATCTTGTGCGGAAGGCGGTTTTCCATTCATCACCCTTGGCTATACGGATACGATGATAAGCATTGCGGATATCAAGCTTGGTAAAGACGGTGGCAGATGAAAGACGGTCGAGCATTTCGTTGATCAGAGGCAATGGGTAACGATTCTTGATGGTGATCTTGTTAAGCCCACGGTAATCAACGCAAAGGCGTAGGGAACCGTCCTTTTTCTTGACAAACAAGATGGGGGCTCCAGCAGGACTAGTCGAACGACTGATGAAACCGTTATCCAGGTTGGTCTTTATATATTCACGTAGGACGCCGAGTTCTTCTTGTGATAAGGAATAGATCGGCCCATATGGAACTTGAGTATCCTCAGCAATCGGGATAGCATGATCGATGCCTGGACGAGAAGGGGGAAGGGCATCAGCTTGGTCCTTACTGAACACATCAGCAAAAGCGCGATATTTGGATGGCAGCGAGGAATTAGCAGTGGATCCTTCAACTGTGACGGAAGCGATGGATGACAGGGACCCTAAGGGGTCGACATGGACTGAAAACGCTTGGGCGCCCTTTTGGATAAGTGACTTGATAGTAAGTGCACTAACCAGTCGGATATCCGGTGGATGCTTAGCAGTGGGTGGTGAAGGATGTGAATTGCTGCTGTAAGGTACTGGCAAGCAATCTGTGGTGCAGGTGGTGGAAGTCAGGTCGATGTGGCCAGTGCGCCAATTGATAGATGGATTATGCTTGATCAACCAGGGCATACCAAGAATGATGCTGTATTGTCCCAAGGACGTTGGATACAGCAAAATTCGTTCATGGTGTTGGCCAACGAACAGATCGACTGGACATTCGTCAGTGATAATACCGGAACGAAGAGCTCGACCGTCGACTGTGCGGACCAAGAGTGGGTTGTTACTTTTGATGGACGGCAAGTTGTGATGGCGTGCGAAGGATTCATCGACAAAATTCTCCATGGCACCCGAATCGATCATGGCATGTGTTTTTACTATACGACCCGAAATATCGATGGATACCGACATTTTGAGAGGATGGTGCAAGGAAGGTGAGGATTTCGGAGAAGATGAAGCAGGCAGAGGTGGAATAACAGAAGAGCAGAGAGGTTTTGTTTCAACAGTTGTTTTATTTGACGTTACTTCTGATGATAGGGAGCCCATGGTATACTCTCTTACAGGCCATGGGAGGTGCCTTTTCCCGACTTCTTAGGGCAAGTGCGGGCCTCATGACCTTCACCACCGCAGTATAAGCAGAGACCAAGCTGACGTCGACGAGCCTTTTCCTCTGCCGACAATGGGATGAACTTGGTTTTAGCTGCATCCAGGTCCATGGGCTGCACAGCGCTTGTGGTGTTGGTGGGGGGAACTGTGACCGGTGCCGAAAATCTTTGACGAGGGCGAAACGGCTGATTGCGTCGTTGCCCTTCTCTTTCGCGCATTCTGTTGTCGAGTTCGATTACCTTCGTTACATACGACCACAGCTCAACTGGCATGTCGCGAGTGGCGAGCTCATCCTTAAGGCGATCGCGGAGGCTTTTGCGAAAGATGGCAAGGAGGGCAGCATCATTGAACTGAGTGCGTAAGGCGAAGCGGCGGAAGGTGGCGGCGTGCTCAGAAGCTGCAGTCGAACCCTGACGTAGGTCTAGCAAGCTGTTTTCGATTTCCAGTAGTTCGTTGACCTGTCCAAAAGCCGAACGAAATTCATCAAGGAAGAGCGAAAACGAAAGCATGCACGGATCAACCTCGTCCGTACCGATGTCATCGAGATAAGGCTGAGCCCAATCGAACGCAGGTCCAGCCATGAAAGAACACATGAAACAAATTTTTGAAAGGTCGTCAGCAAACCTGTCCTGATTCATGTGTATGGCCATCTTGACGTGGGTGATGAACGAGCGGATGTCCTCAGTGTTGCCCTTAAAAATTGGTGGGTCATTTACACGGATGGCACGGCGGTACGCGGGTGCTTGTGAATCCAGGGAGAGGTTTTGGAGACCCTCTGCGATGCTGGCAGCATTGATCGAGGACTCCGGAGTTTGAGCACGGACGTATTTGGGCATATGGATTGACAAGGGGAAAAATAGGAGACAGGAAGTACAAGAGAGTCAGTGGGGAAACGGAGTATCTTAAAAAGGAAATATCGAAGAATGAGAGGGAATGTAGGGTGACAATAAATAGATAGAAATGGTAAAAGTGGTATAGAGATCAAGGGGCAGTAATGAATCAGAAAAAGGTAAAGTGGATTTACTGGAATGAAGTATTAGAGTCAGAGAAGGAAGAAAGCAGGTAACACTGAATGAGTCAGATATGATGTAAGGTGCGCACAGGAACAAGACAAGAAGGGACAGAAAGACCGGACGAGAATGTGCTAGGTGCTTTCAGCAAGAACAGGACAAGACAAGAAGGAAACCTGGAGGTAGGAGACCAGATGGTGAGGGAAGAAACAAGAACAAGGTATAGGATGGAAACAAGATATCTGACTGATGTTTTATTATTCAAAGACTATGGTGTTTATATATCTTTTACTATGGAATTTAATAATGCGAATAAACGGAAAGATTGGTATTAGGGTTGATAATTCGGACGATGATGATGGATGATATTGTTACTTGGGGATTTAATAAGTGATCATCGAGGTTGAGGGTGATCACTTAGTAGAGGTCGAGGAATGTTCATAACAAGGAGACATAATTTAGTGCTGTTGATCACCTTCAATGCATTAGTTGCAATAGCAGGAAGCATTTTAAGAATAAAAATAAAACTGCTGCAAGAACGAAGCAAATTCCTAGTAATGAACATTAGCAGTTAGCTTATAAAGATATTGAGGGAACGATAATAATACAGTAGTGTCAAGTCGGTTTAGTCTTCTAGTAATGATGATGAATGACTATGACCATGCAAAGTAGTTATCATCTACGACGCACATTGCCATGTGTGACGGAGAAACATGCGTTTGATTATTTAATAGTGCCGCATCAAATTGATGCTTTCATGGTTTGATGATCTTTGTTATTCCAATGTCAAAAAATACATTCCCGTCAGCGAAATGAAGAGCTGTTGTCCAAGTAATGATGCTGTCGGCGAAATAATTACTCCATTAGCGATCAGCGAAGTGCCGCTGGCCAAATGAATTGGTGAGGCCAAAATGGAAACGCCGTTAGCGAAACGAGGACACCGTTGGCTGACCGACAAAGCAAAAGAAATCCCGTTAACCAAAGATTAAGTAAAAACATGTCCATACACGAATTCAAGGTTCTGTAAGCTTGAGATGAAAGTTATTACTGTACATGAACGCTTTCCTGATACTGTCAATGATTTATTGTACAGGAATGCCCAATACCGCCAACACATGGCCGACTAAAATTAGACTACCCGTCGTCAAAACTTGTATCTTCTCCTTATGCGTTTTAGAGTAGTCGATGATCCATTCTACCGCGTCTTCAGCAGTTTGTAGCATTTGATGAATATTCTTCGCGTCGAATGAAGGATTTCGCTTTTTCCACATGTCCACCATTGCGGCGTGCATAGAAACAGATTCGTCCGTTGAAGCTTTTATAGCATTATATAAACAGTTTTGTATTGTTAATATGCTGAGGTTTGTCGCTTGTTAAAAAGAAGCTCTATTGAACGTGCATTTAAGCATTTACCTGTAGTATGCTCCTGTCGAAATGCGGTGTTACAGCTGAACATGACATGATCAAAATGCACATTTGACTGAATATCCGTGATTAATTCCAGCAGTTGAGTACCGTCCCGCCCATTGGTGCAGTTGAACAGTAATATCCGCTTAACAGGCTCATTGTCTTCGTCTTTCTTCAGCGCGCCTTGGAACCAGTCGACACAAACTTGGATACTTTCCATTGTATGCGCACCGTCCAAATAGAAGATCACTTGATTGGCCTGGGACCGATACCTAGTATCTTTGACATTCACGCGTTGACCACGTCCTGGCCATACCACCTGGGCTAATCCGGCTTTAAATTCTTCTGGAACGGCATTCTTATCTAGACAAGTACCGCGACATTTTTCTAGCCAAATTCGGGACATTTCGATTGCCATCAGCGCATTTTGCATTTGGTGGGTACCATCCAAGCCCAATGTCACGGCGTCAAGCTGCTTGATATCTTTTGGATATAGTACTGTTACCAATGAACCTTTCTCTTGTGCACGCTGTTGAATAATCGCCATGGCTTGAGGGATTTGCTCAAACGTGACAACGGGCGTATCGGGTTTGATGATGCCAGCCTGATCCCACGTGATTTCCTCAATGGTATGACCGAGTACATCGACATGGTCAATACCAAGTGCAGTTATACCACACACTATGGGCTTTTCGATGATATTGGCCACACCGTGCTCTCCGCGGACACCCACCTCGATGATGGCTACGTCGACTTTCTCTTGCAGGAATGCGTGAACCGCAACTAAGAACATATATATGAAATACGAAGGCATCTCCGGGCAAAATAATAATTCAGGCGAAAGCTCGAGTGGATTGCTATCATCAGTTGCCATTCCCTTCTGAATTTGCAGTGCCCAGTCTTCGTGTCTATCGTTGATAGTACTCTTGAGCCGCTGCCAAACGTCTTGATTGTATTTTGCAAAAAGATCTTCACTGATCGGCACACCGTTGATCCTTATGCGCTCGCGGATTGTGATCAAATGAGGTGATGTAAACAACCCAGTTTTGATCGGTTGCTGGTGTTGCTTGTCATTTGAGGAGTTGAGATGCAAAAGGATTGACTGTGTAAATGCAGACGTTGAGCCTTTGCCTTTAATCCCAGAAATATATATGATATTTAAATCGTTAAGAGCGCTTGGCTTTTTCATCGTGATTGGCAATAGAAAGCAATCAGTACATTTTTCATCGGAACTCAAGCAACCAACCTCTTTGACAAAAAATGAGGGCTTATTACCTCATAGCCAACGCGTTTAAGGTATGCACGTGCTTCGGGAAGGAATAGTGAAGGACATTTGTTCTGAGCGCGTTCTTCCGCTATGGTTGTTAGCGATTTGATTTTCGCTAATGCTTCCTATTCAAATGAAGTCTATAGTATTAGGATATAAAGTCTTCTCTAAACGAATACCAACAACAATCACAAAAGTATATCTTACCTCATACACAGTGAAGGTCATTGCTAACAGCCGTATCAGTTTTTTACTGTTCAACTTTTATTAACGTTATTTATATAAAACACTTCGGATGTTTTGGTCACCAAAGCGGCGCGCGAACTCCTGCAGCGATAAGACAAACAAAAGAAATGATACCCACGTTCGTCATCACACAAATTATTGACACGAGCCTTTCTGGCCTTCGCTCCTTGGTCTTGAACCCCTCTGCTTCGCTACGTGTCAATCCCTACGAAGCTTCAGCTCGACGGCTCGTTATTGTCATACGTAGGTGTGCTATATTATTCAAACATTGGAACACATGTGGTCAGCCCACGGCTTTTGCAGCAAAATTTACTAGGATCGCCCCATGCTGTTTATGTTTTGCTCGATTGTTCCAACCTTGCTTTTGGATCAGCACAAATATTTATATTGTCTCTATCCCCGCATACTAAGGAGCAAAACTGCGCCCATTCAGAGACACATATCCACAAGTGTATATTGAAGCTGGGATATTCGGGAAAAGTACTACCCGGAAGTTTTGGAAGGGGGATACAAAGGCTAAAAACGATTAAACAAAAAACGCTAAGCTTCTGCAAGATATATTCCAACGTAACTTCGATGCAAGTGAAAAAGCAGCAACTTCAAGACTTGAAAAAAGATTGGGGCGTCAACACAAGTTTAAAATTATAAAAGTTCTTGGTCGACGCAAAGTTCTAGCAGTATATTGGGACATGTGTTAAGGGCATGCATACTTTTTGCCAAGAGGAGACACAAGAGAAAGAGCGTTTGAAGAAGAAAGCACGGACAGCATGATCGTCCTGCAACTTTTGGAATGATTTGACCACGTTGAAAGCAGTGTATCCTTCTCCTTTTAGGTTAGGGAATACGCCAGCAGGAAAAAAAAATTGAAGGAATATATGCAAACAGCTGCAGAAACTCCATTGTACGCTGTAGAATTGAAGTTCGGCGCCTAAACTGCAATGTAGGAAGTAGTGCCAAAGTGAGGAAGCTGCCGCACATTAGCATAACAGATCAATACATTTATCTGAAAGTAAATGATAGACAGGTATATTCTTTAGATTTTTCGATACCGCCACTGTCTTCATTATTTCTATCGTATCATAGTCATCGTTATCATCATGGCCAACAAAAGCAACAATAGCACGATCCCAAAAATAATAATATTGATGATCAATGCATCGATCCAGCCTGCTGCTACCTAGTGATAGTGAATGGGACGATACGCCGATAATAGTCGATGATCCACAACTGCGTGATGATGACGACAACGTGGTTGATAATGGTGACTTCCGTTGATTACATTGGCTCTAAGTTGTGGTACTGCAAAGTGTTGGACTCTGTTGAGCTGATTTGTGATCCTTTTTTAAACTTTGATGCAATCTTGCCATATAAATTATTCGGGGATGACGAGCCGGTAGTAGATTAAGAAAGAGATGATGATCGGTTGATGTGCCAGGCTGACAACATCGAATTTGACAATACGATCGAAGATAATACAGCAGGCTAGTAGTAGTAATGGCCTAAAAAAAGAAAACTGCCATGTAATAAATCAATCGCCAACAGTCCTGGCCGCAACAAATCAACTCGTATCCATCCCATATCCTTTGACACTCGTCTTCAACTTCATTTGTTTGTTTACAACTCCACCATCTATCCATGCTGATCACTTTCGTCGTAATCTTATTCGCCGGCGTTCACAACGTTCCTGATATTATGATTATTCCTTTTACTGTTGCTGGGATACGACAAGCTATTGGTTTTTATCAGTTGACAGAGGATCTGCGAAATAACATTGCCTGCAGCAAGTGCTACGCCATATATCTATCGTCACCGACGTTCCACGAGCTATGCACCAAGCTAAGCAGCACGATGGACGGAGCTCTTTGCAGTACCCCTTTGTTCAAATCAACCACCAACAGTCGTCGCTTGTCCAATAAGGAGTACACCTATTATCCCCTACAACAAGCCTGTAAAAGCTCTTGATGCGACGAGGTTTCGAGGACACAATACTTAACTGGCGAAAATGTCGGGTCTCAAGAGTAGGTGATCTCGGTGATGTGTATGAGAACATGAAGGATTCCAACCACGACATCTTTGTCGAAGACCCTCGCTCGTTGTGCTGACACTTAACATTGAATGACGTGCATCCTTTGACAGCGGTTACTCGTGTGTGGTGTCATTTACATCACCATCAACAACCTCCCTCGTGCCGATCGCCAAAAAGTGGAGAACGTCATACTTGTAGGTGTTATGCCTGGACCAAGTGAGCCGAAGACCTACGAGATGAACCACTACCTTGAGCCATTCGTCGACGTCTCATTGCCCTGTACGACGGCATTGAGATGAGCACATTCCAAGAACCACAAGGCACACGCATTCGCGCAGCTCTGCTTAACGTTGCCTGCGATATACCTGCTGCTCGGAAGGTTGGTGGCTTCACTTCGCATGCCAGTACGCGAGCATGTAGCAAATGCACGCGCGAGTTTGTCGTTTTTCCAGGCACTACAAAACTGGATTATTCAGGTCACCAAATTCCGTCCTCGGACCTGCGGACAAAGGAGGGTAACCTACGCGACGCGCAGCAATGGCTAGCAGCAACAACACCAAGAGCGCGATACAACGTCGGGCGTGAGACAGGGACGCGCTGGTCGCAGCTCCATCGTCTTCACTACTTTGATCCGGTCTCGTCTGTACTTATTGATGTTATGCACAATTTGTTTCTGGGGACTGCCGCTCGGATGGTGTTTGGATGGAGGACTTTCGGTTATTTCCGTGAAGCTGACTATGAGGTTATGCAAGAGCGCGCTGACGGGATTGTGTTGCCGCCTGGAATGCCTACCCTGAAGCGCAAGATCCAGCGCAAGTTTGGCTTCATGACGGCTGAGGACTGGAAGACATGGACGCTCGTCTACTCCGCATTTGTCCCCAAACCCATCCTCCCTCCTGGTCACATGGCGAACTGGATGCTTTTCGTCGCTGCGTGCCGTCACATTATCCAAACCACGGCCACATATGAGCGTCTCGACCAAGCTCACATTTTATTCGAGCGTTTCATATGTGGTTGTGCAGCATTATACGGTCCTGATTTTGTTACGCCCAATATGCATTTGCATTTACGTACCACCATCGAAGACTTTGGGCCGGTCTACGCACATTGGTTGTTCAGCTTCGAGCGATACAACGGTTTCTTGAAAGACGCGTACACGAACCAGAAGAACTCTTTCGAGGTTACCTTTATGAAAGGATTCGTCGAGAAGGCTGGTGCTCTTGATTTCGTGACGAATGAGGTCCCCGCTTTGCTCAGCTACCACAACAGCTCGGGATGCTTGTACAAATGGCCGGTCAATATGTATCCTCCCTCGTCTCATACACCAACAATGACACGCCATTCGACCCGTACGCTTTCATCCAATTATCCTTAGACACGGGTATCGACGTGGACGGTAGCGAGTCGTTGCCCCCTGACACGATCACTTCCATGACAAGTGGAAAAACAATACGGCTGCCAGGTGATCGCTTAAACCTGCTCGTCAGCTTCTATCAGCAACATTATGATCAAACGACCGTTATCAGTGCCCAGTCTGGTAAACGACCGATCCATCCTCACACACTCATAGTGCATGACGGGGTGGAAACATTTCAAGCAATTGAGATTTTCGGACAGACTTCCGGTCAGCAACTTCGAGATCTTTGCGTGGGTCCTACGTCCAAGCCTTGTTTATTCAGGGTAATGGAGTCGTTGCATGGACCGGCTAGGTCCAATTTGTTTTCAAGCACAATCTCCTCGTTGATGGCAGACAGAAGACGCACTCATTTGCCTTCGTCCGTTGGTATCGCGCAGCAGCAAGGCAGCAACGCTTTGAAGATGAGGGCCTGGAAGAGTGGTTGGGCAGCTTTATGGCAGAAGGAACTGACTCCATCTTGCCCATCCACCGTATTCACTCGCAGGTGGCCATTGTCAAGTTTGGTTCGCAAAGAAACGCCAATACTGCTAGAATCATAGTGATACCGCTTGCTAGGAAAGTGTTTTTGTAGAAAAAATAAAGCACTTCTTGCTCGATCTGAACGTCAGTACCGGGGACTAATACACTCGTATACTTCCTATTGAGCCCTTTCAACTGTGTCGAGGCATCGGCTCTGGACTGCACATCCGATTCGTTCACGTACTCAAATGCCTATGTATAGCATCGCTAATATATTAGCAGCTATTCCGACATTCTACAGCAGACATGATATCAATGAGTAGGGTAATTAAGCAATAAATACACATGGGCGATCTGAAGGCAAGCCCCAAACGACGCAGCCCACGTCCTCGTCTTCCCTCCTCTGTATCACTTAACTCGGGCGACATGTATTCCCTCCTAAAACGCTCGCCCTAAGGAAAGCGCGCCTCCAGCCCAACTGCATGGCTGGCATGAAGCAATACTAGTATTCATCCTTTATGTGTTTGAGCATTGGTAATAATAAAAAACACAAAATATGAAATAGTTATGTAACAGACAATAAGAAGGTTTATCTTGAAGTGCTACTGTTTTCTTTTCTTATAGTATCATCACTCTCGAATTGCCATCTCCTTGTGAGACGGAAGAAGATACTGCCTGCTGCTGGTTGTTAACAACGAGTGATACAGCTTTTATATGTTTCTGTTGCTGTTATTGCTGGCGCTATTTAGTGCTGGCAACGCTTGTCAAAACCAACATCTAATTCTTGATAGCTGCCATCTCCGCTTGAAGTACCCTATTGGAACCAGGAACATAAGCAAGTGGCAACCCGATCTTGCGATAACACCACGGGTAACTGATGCTGAGCGGTACGGCCGTTGATCCTTGGTTGGTAAGTCTATATTTTTTTTTCTCATGCCCATTCAATATTGCAATCCATCGTCATATTCTTTGTTATATACATTCAACACTACACTCCATCGTGTTTTACATTGTTTTTTGACGATGCAGACAATCATGAATTATGCACTAGAAGCTGCAATGGTTATATCGATGTTGCCCCTACACACTTGCAAACGAGCAGCGAACATATATAGACAGAAACAAATTGGTTCAAATATACTGCAGGTACAGCAGCCAGACATATATCGACCTGTACCTATACCCCATACTTTGTCAAATCAGTTTTGAAGCATCCATAGTTTTTTATTATGGATTTCTTAAAAGTAAAAGTTGCACGGAAAGTATCTAGAAGCCCTACAAGGTTTAAAAGTCGTCTCTATCTGCGCAGGGAAAACTTATTTTGGATGCATAGTAACTTTTTTAATTGAGATATATACACAAATTTACATTTGCTCCCTTCTGAAACGCCATGCTGGGCCGTAGTTCAATAGTATCAGTAATAAAATATTTGAAATTGTGAGAAACGCACCCAATAAGGTATACATCCACCCAACACCAACAGCCGTCATAAGAGGATCAACCAGGGCGGTTCCAATGGCACTAACAGTAAGCAAAAGTATGTTTAGAAAAAAAATGGCACGCAACTTTTTGATACAATTTTAAAATAAGTAGAATGCAGGCTGCAAAGCTATAATACTGATAGAGTGATTGTTTGCAACGCGTATCATCTGCACTTAGTAGACATCATGAACAGACTCATTATCAGAAACAGTAGAAACTTACGAAAACAGCAGGCGAACCATAGTAAGGCTGGCAGCAGTTGAAGCACCTTTTGCAGGACGAAGATCCATAACCAAACATCTCACTCCGGAGTTCACAAAGGCTATGTTGATGCTCACTATAAAAAGGTGCGAATATTACTAATATTGCGGCATTATTCGTTAAAAAAGCCATTTATAGTACATACAGAAGAATTGAAGGACTAGTGGAACAGCCACGGGCGCGTTCAAAAGAAAAATCCAGCCGTGTATTGCTGTCAATATCTGGGCGCTAATGGCATGGTACCAGATATACAACAACCGTGCTCTGTAAATTGGAAAGTCTACTGGAAGGTTTCGCCCATTGACTTTGTTACACTTTTTCATTGAAGATCCATTGTCCCTTTCTGCTTTCCCATCATCAACCTGTGTTGCAGAAATGCCGCTGTTGATGCTATCTCTGCCATAGTAGTCGTTTGCCACCCGACGAAATGTCCGGTTGAGAAAAGGGCTCACGATAAAGCCACTCGCAACAGTCCCGATGCTTTGGGCAAGAAAACACAGGCTGGTGTTTTGTACGTTCAAGTGATAATAGCTCCTGAATAAATATGACATGTTGACGAGGTAACAAGATTTAGCACCAAAGTACGAGGCCGAGATTAGCATAGCAACGAGAATATCTGGCTCCAATAAGTTGTGGAACGGGACATGAAAACTTGGCACCTTCCTGAAGCGATTTGTTGTAGCAACGGCGACAGCATCATCCGGATCCTCAGCAGAGAAAGTGGTGATACTGGTAGAAACAAGCTCAATGGCATGATAGTGATGCTTGTTGCTCATCTTGCTTTGGATCCATTGTAGAGGCGTTGGGTTATACCCCCTACCTGCTAATGCAGGGAGGGTTTCTGGGAGAAACATGACAACTATGAGAAACACAGATCCAATAAAGCAGGGCAACACCCAAAATATCCAGCTATGGAATAATATATATAAATTCAATCAAATTTAGTTTTCGGGCGTCATATGTTTCTTCATTTTGTTCTGTTTGTCGTTTCATACCGCCATGAAAGATGTTGAGTGATAATCCCACCGAGTATTGGCCCTGACACCAGGGAGATTTTGTACCCGAGACTACCGTATGAGCTGTACCCGGCTCGCCTTTAGGCGTAATTTTTAAAGTCAAATTTAATGCAGCAAAAGAAAAATGACCTTATACAAATGACATTTACGTTGCAGGTGTTGATATATCCGTAATGACACCGGACCCTTATATAGATGTGTTTCATCAGAAATGGTGGTTAATATTTTTCGTTTCTTAAGAGCTCGCTAAATTATATAGTATCAATTACCAGTGACGGGAATAGCACTTCCAGCAAAAGCTTGCAGCATTCGTAATACAATGAGAGTATAAACCGTTGAGGAGGCCCCAATTCCTGCGCACGCAGCAGCCGCTACTGGCATTGTTATGATATAAAGTGGGCGTCGGCCCCACTGGTCAGATAGTGGTCCCCATAATGTTGGAGCGAAAGCTTGAATCAGTTTATATCCGGAAACGCCTAAATTGACTGCGGATGCTGTCGTATGAAGGTCCTAAAAGAGAATAAATAGACGTAATGGTGTAGTTGTTATTAATTAAGCGTCAGATTACCAGCGACTAGTCATGATGTTAACAATGGCGGCTGTTTGTTAAGGATAGCAAAACACATACCTTTGTTATTACATCAAGAGCAGGATAAAATATAGTTATGGGTAATGAAGATATCATTTGGGTTACTGCCGCTGTAGCCACTATAAAAATCCGTTGCCTGGGGTTGAAGAAGATTTCTTTTTCCTGAATGGAAGGAAGCTCTGAGGTTTTGGACGGTGATGGAGCTATTTCTTCAGAATCGTGCTTAGCTTGTTCCACAGCTTCACTCGTACTTTGATGTTGCTTTAAATTGTCCGATTCCGTCATGACGAAAATATGAGAAACAAAAAAGAATGTGGGCACAAAGACTTGAGTGAAATAAACGTCCCTGTGTTAAAAACTGAAACTGCAGTGCAGGCACAAACACATATGCATAGCTATCGTACACCTGTAGAAGCGGATGTACAAACTAGGCAAACGCGTATTATACGGTTGATACTTCTAATAAATTGATTGGATGAAAACATATATGACCTCTTCTGATGAGGAGCTGCGAGGGACATCAAATGAGCAGGTGGATCGTCCAGATATCGTGTAGATCAAAGTATATTAAAGGGAAGAAAAATGACTATGTGAACGCTGCGTCTAAATAGGACATATCCGCTTTAGTCCGATCCTGTTTGGGCAAAATTATACGAAAAAACCTTGAAGTCAATAGGGGAAAATAGTTATAGGTAGTATTAGGCTCTCGTAGAAAAATTCCGAGGAGGACCTTTATATTTATGTTTATATATATAAATGTAAGATAGGAGGCAGGAGAGATTGAGGCAAACTAGTTTACTGCGTGATGAAGTATGGCGTTGTTTGTGTTATTGTTGATTGTGCTCTCGGCGTTGTTGGTGCTGTAATGAGGGTGGACAGAATTGATGTATGGTCTTCAGCAAGTTTGATCCGATTAAGGAAGAGTCGCCCTGGGTCATCTGCGCTATCGCTAATGATCGAGAAACTGACTGCACGTCTTGCATACTCGCATCTAAACATATATGCAATCGCCGGCATGGATATGTCTGACTCCAGTAAATGAAAACTTTACTCGTTTAAAGTTCATATTCCTGGACCTTTAGGCATGTGTGTGTGAGAAGAAAATTCATTTATCTCCATGAGGATTTCAACTTGGAAACTGTGAGGCTGAAGTGACCTCGTCGACGATACTGCAGAACCATCTGTTTAATACAATGGAAGAGAGGAGAAAATTGTGGTAGTATAGTAGAAACTTGCATTAACTCACATATTCTTAGATTGTGGAAAGTAACTAGGCCTTTAAATTGGGAGAGATGCTATCCCAACCTCTCTAAAAGGTGAAGGCAAGAAGCAGTTTGCGATATCTTGGGTAAAGAAAGACACGCTGCTCTCTAAAGTTGGACAGCTTATACGCATGTATTACTGTATTGATGATTTGCAGTGCTACGTATGCAAGTGCAAATCAAGCAAATTTTAAATGTTATAGTATGGATTGTAGTAGGAGCCTTCTGTTTCTGGCCGTTGCTCCATTATAGCAGTATCAGCAACTCTAATGTATGAGGATAGGATGGAAATTAAGTACCTTTCCTCGAGTCCTATCGCATGAGATCCGCCTAGTGAGCCAGATCGCGCTCAAAGGTTACACGAACAGTAACTGGTTTTTATCTGCTGCCCAGTAAAGATTTACGTGTACGTGTGTTTCCTATTTGACATGAGCGATCTTTTCGAACAAGCTTCCAGCTATTTGAACACCCACGATGTCTCATTAACTAATGAGCAAAAATTAAAGGCACGGTTTAACTTAGCATGACAGACTTGATTTACGTTTGCTTGTGAATTTATGAGACTGAAGAATTAAAGAAACCGCTATATAGATTTATGCCCTATTCAAACAAGCGACCGTAGGCGACTGCAATACGTCCAGGCCAAATCTTTTTGAATTTGTTAATCGGGCCAAATGGGATGCCTGGCAAGGGCTGCGTAGCATGTCTATGGACGAAGCGAAGCAGGCATATGTGGAAGCAGTGGAAAGTTTTCAAGTTGGCTGGTTGCGTCAAGGCGACTCTGGACAAGGCGACCACACGGTCGTGCAACAACAATCGGTATTGGGATGGCTAGGAGCAAAACTCATGAAATTGGTATAAATAAGCTCACACCACTTGAAACTCATTAGGAAGATAAAACATCAACGGGAAAAGCCGTGGCAGTAAGCGCAATGGCCTATGATGATGATGAAGCAACGTAATGTCAATATCAAAGAGTGGACGAAGAAAGATTGGAGAAAAATACTATACAACAGGAACGAGCTTAACTGAAAGCGTTGCTTTAGCGAAGATACCGCCGATCTGTTTGGCTATGCGCGACAGAATAACTTGGATGGTGTGCGACATATCATCTCGAAACAAAGGGATTTGGTGGACAGTAAGGATGAAGACGTATGGAAGACATTAATTACTGAAATATGACACTTTATGCAAATGGTGTTGGAATTTATGCTTAATAAAAATCTACCCTTATACTATAGGGTCTTACAGCGCTTCATCATGCCTGCGATCGAGGCAATGTGGATATGGCTAAACTTTTAATAGAGCTCGGTGCTGACATTGACTCAAAGGTATTGAAAGTTATATGCAATATTTCATACGATCCAAGACCCCATTAACTCTTATAGTAGACAAACGAACAAGAAACCCCGCTGCACTATGGTAATTTCTTTTATATTCTTGTGAAGCATCAAAGGCTTTATAATGTTTACTGTTGCGAATGCTCAATTTCGGCTTGTTTACACCTCATACAGCTTGCATATCAGAGCAACTGGAAACAGCACAAGTGCTATTGTGTCAAGGTTGTGACGAATCTGCACGCGACTCATCCGGTGAAACTGCGTTTGAGCAATCAGATCCATCATTCATTCAACAGCTCGGTCGTCAACAAACATAAGCAACACATAGATGCTCTTCTTTTATTAACGCTTTTTGTATACACATGGCTTCAAAAGCTTTTCGGCCTTCTTTTGTAATTTAGATTGGGACACATGAACACCTGCACCCTTTTTCAAGGCTCGCTTCTGTGCCTTACTTAATCCCTCCAACATCTCCTGGTCTATTTCTTGATCCACGTCCACCTCTTGCTTTGTAAAGTAAAGCATAATAAACATCTTGTTCGAGTCATCCTATACATAAGTATCGGTTAGATATGATGCCGTAGACCCAATTAATTCTGCGAGTTAACTACCTTATCCATGAATTCAAAGCCCATTTCTTCTAATAGTGCAATAAATTCATCCACGTCCGTAAATCGGCTCACGACTTCTGCAATTTTCAGCTCGCCTCTGCATAGACAAAATATCCATAAGCACACAAGTTCTGTCTCTAACCAAAAAGTGTTAATCAGATCACAACTTACCCAGCTTTCAGGACACGCTTAGCTTCCTTGAGAAAATCCAGATAGTTGGTACCCATAAGTGCCAACGAAAACACTGCCACATCCACAAATCCATCAGGAAGAGGAAGCTGAAAAATCGTAGTAGTATGAGTAACACTTTCAAAGATATGCTGCTTGTGAAAAACGAGAAAACCACAATTTTTTGTTTCTACTTACATTGGCAATGTCACAGGCGACTACCTTGTCGTTCTTTGCCACCATATCGAAACTTAACACCTTTTGCTTTTTCAGAGTATGTGCAATTTGAGCATCGCCACATCCAAGATCTGCTACCACTGTGCCTGCAGGGAGCTTAGACAGTTGCTTGGCAAAGATATCGACGGGATTCTCGGGCCATGACTCTACTTGGTGTCGGAAACCTTCATGGTACTACGATCACATTATTAGAAAGGTAAGCTAAACATGTATTGTAAGACACCATAAATTACGTAAAAATAATGTCTGCGTACTTCTTCAAAGAGTTCAGGTTTTTCTTTGAACAGCTTGAAAGATTCATCGCCTTTTGTGGTATAAAGTTGTTCATTCAACCACCGGAACCGAGCACCAGAAAGCTTTTCCTTCATCTTTTGCTGCAAAGGTGTTAATTTGGCCCCTGTGTTACTCTTTGCGGTTGTAGCAGGCGCGTTGGCTCCAGACGGCTTTTCGGTTTGCTTTTTTCCAGGCTTCTGATGTTGCTGCTTGCTCTTTCTGCTGTCGTTGGATTCGTTCTTCTTTGCTAGTAGCTAAAACATACGGACAGGTTAGAACCAATGGCTTTCCTATGGTGATGATGGAAAGCAAGTGTTTCTGTTTCTTTATACCTGTTGCAACTTGGCCTTTTGATCCTCTGTGACCGGCTTCTTTTTAGCAGCGGCAGCATTTTGCTTGGAAACTGAGGGCTTTACGTTGGATGCAGTCTCGGCTTCCTTGGCTTGTTGATTGGCAATCTTCTTTTGCTTTTTCGTCAGCTTCTCTTGCGGCTTTGCATCTGTTTCCTCAGCGTCCTTTGCCTGGACAGCATCGCCACCAATCGAACTCTGCTTTTGCTTTCCCACTTGTTCCTTCTGCTTCTGCTTTTGCTGCTTGGGCACTGAAGGAATCGAGTCTTCCTCCATTGGGTCGTTCTTGCCAATTTGCTTTTTGTTGTTGCCGTTGTTGTTGTTGTTGTTGTTGTTGTTGTTGTTCAATTTGGCCTTTTTAGCAGGAGGTTGCTGTTGCTGCTGTGTAGTGTCATTGTCATTTTGACCCTGCTGATCCTGCTGTTGTCTCTTTTTGTTGTTCTTCTTTCGCTGCTGTAGTTGTTTCTTGGTGTCATTGCCCTTATTGTTGTTCTTGTTTAGCTTTGTAACTTGATTTTGAAGCTGATCAGCTTGTTTAGAAACCGACTGTCCGTTCGATTCGCGATTTTGATCGGACGATCTATCTGCTTTGTTTGTCTTTTTCTGGGGTGCAATCGATGACGGCAACGCCCAGCTCGTCTCAAAAAGTGGTTGCATAGCAGCGAGTAAGCGAGTAGAGCGAAAAATGGAGTGTTGATAAAAAGAGGATTGCCGAAATTGGTGGTTTTCATGCTACAGGACCGCAAGCCACAGTCTCATGTGGTACATAAAATTTAATGCAGCTTCTTAAAACTGACAGTTTTCCGAGGGACCTAGACAAGCAACCACACTCTCTACCTATCCCCAACCCCCGACTGCTAGAAACTGAGCGCCTTCATGTTATACTTATTAGTAGACTCGGTGCGTATAAGGGATCATGTATACCTCAGTTCAAAAAGTCATAGCATAAACGATAAAAGACATATCTATCTTTCGAAAGAGCAAAACAATGTGACCAATTGAAACGGTTTTTTGTTCTTTATACAGTTATGAAATTGTGTGCAAGAGAGTGAGTGATTGTGAACAAGAGAAAATGGGGATAAAAATGCATTATGTTTTGCAAGGTTTTTACAAATATATACAAAGTACTAAAAGATGAAATGATCGAATCAAAGCAATTACATGACCCTCCGCTTTTTGCCGAAAAGAAACTCATCCGAGTGATCCTATGTAATATATAGTGTTCAGTGTTAGGAACCAGTCATGTGTTATGGTACTGGTACGAAATATAAGTGGAGAGCTTACCAAATCATAGTCTTGTGCATCGCCTCCGTCAACATAATCATCCAAACCTCGTTTATGGCTACCCATAGGGTCAATCTCCAACGGAATTCCAGCTGTAAAGTCTGGTTGCTCAAACGAGACAGACTGGTCATAACCAAGACCGGACTGATCATAAGGCAAATCATAGCCAAACTGTTGCTGCTCGTGCTGTTGATGAAACGACATTGGCTCACCAAATGATGCTGGCTGCTGCTCATATGTCGCCATCGGGTCTTGATCCTGTTGTAACTGTGAATCGAAAGAAGTAGGAATAGGAGGTTTGACTGGATTGCTAATCGGTATACCCTTCAGACCCTTGGCAGCACACAGCTCGTTGAACTCGCTTTCGACCTTACGGCCCATCTCATATACAACATCATCCGCAGGATTGAACAGAAAGCAGTTGATGAAAACCTGCTGTACATCTTTGAGCAGGGCACTTGCATCAAGATACTCGTTCTTTTCAAGTTTCTTGCGAGCTGTTCCAAGATCCATGGGGTTCTGTAGATAAATCGATATGTCAGTGTGTTATGGAAAGGGAGTAAAGAAATCTCAGTAAATATTAATAAAAGATGCTATACCTTGATCACATCAAAGTAGGTGGGGATCTGCAAGAGCACCGGGTCCACTGGAGCACTGAATGCAAAATACGACGGATGACTTTGAAGCTTATCCAGAACAGCCTTGTATTTCCGTAATTCGGCTTTAGCTGCTGCAGTAGGTCCTTGGGTTGCTGAACTTTGCTTAATGGTCTTTTTAGGCGTCTTTTTGGATTGTGAAGCACCGCCGCCGCCGCCACTGGAAGCCTTGCTACTACTACTACCACCGCCGCCGCTAGTAGGTGCCTGTAAAAGCTCTTGTTCCTTTTTTCGCAAAGCGGGAACCTCTTTGTTGACAATCTTTTCCAGGACCATGGCGTTCTGTGAAACAGGATGTTCAAAACCGTTGAACGTGTAACAGTTGGTAAAAATCAGCCGCACGTCAGTTTCAAAGTCCTTGACTGACTTGTACTCTCCATCCTTGAGCTTTTTCTCACTATATAGATATGTTAGATGCTTGATTCTAATGGCACTACACCAATAGTCCGTTTTCGAGAGATACTTTACACTGTACTCAAATCCATGGGCTTTTTAATAATAGCAGGGTAATGAGGTACACCGAGAGCGACTGGGTCAACCTGAGATGAATAGAAGGCTTAGGACCAGGCAATTCTTCCTTTTTTGTCCACTTTGTAGAACAAAGTATCTAGCAAGATTTAGTCTGACATATTATATTACTTACTGGCTGCAAAAATGCCATTGAAGCAATATGATTTTTCAATTTCCCAAGCAAAGAAGTGATCTTCTTTGTCAATTCGGTTGGAAGCTTTCGAGGAGTTGAGGGCGGTGATGGATGGTGTTTAGCAGCTTGTGCTTCTGCTTTTGGATGATTATGCGTTTCTTTGGATGGCTTCGGTGTCTTTGCAGGCGAAGCTTTTGTTGTTGGAGTAGCTGATGCAGATGGTACTGTTGCCTCAATAGTTGGCGTTTTGGCAGCTGTTGTGGTGTGTGGAGGTTTCATAGTAATAGATGGAGAGCGTTTATCGATATTAGTTTGTTTAGGGGAGGGTATAGTCGCGTTATTGCTACTGCCATGCTGCTGTTGTTTGGATGTAAATGACTTTGGTGATACTGATGTTGGAGCTGGCGATGCAGAAGATCGTGGTTTAGGCGTAGCAGTGTTATGTTTCGTCGATGAAGGGGTAGGGGTTGTCGTCGTTGGCGTGGTGGCACGAGCGGCCGGTGATGCTTCCTTGACACGATGCCGTAACTCTTTACCAATATTACTATTGTAATACTTTTCCAATCGTTTACCCTGGTCGTATGCAAACGTGCCGACCTTGTTGTACGTAAAACAGTTGGTAAAAACCAGTCGAATATCCGAGTCCACATCTGGCAAGTTGGTGTATTTCCCAGATTCGACCTTTTCCCAGATTGTGCGGAGATCCATGGGGGTCTTGACAACCCGGCCATAGTCAGGCAAGCTGTCAAGATCAACCGGCTCGTTGAAGAAAGCTGCAGCATCATGCATACTAAGCTTGGTCACAACCTTACGCACGAGCTTCAAATTCTCCCCTTGAAGTCTGTTGGGATCGCCAAATTCAGCACACCAAACCTTGTTAAACGCACCCTCCAGTTCGCGGGCTTGTTGCGTGATCCATGCATTCGGATCGTTGTACAAGTAGCAGTTCCAAAAGACCTGGCGTATGTCGCGTTCGAATTCCCAGATAGTCGAAAATTCTTCGCCCTCGAGATTGCGTCGCACGGATGATAAGTCCATGGGTCGCTTGACAATATCGTAGTATTGAGGCAAGTTCAGCCCTTCAACATCGACCGGTTCATAGAATTGCTGAGATGCTGGATGATTCCAAATCTTTTTCAAAACTTGGTCGCATCGTCTGATATTGTCGTCGTCCATGCGATCTCGTATCCTCTGGCGTTCATGAGCAGATTTAGCGGTACTGCTGCCGTTTGCACCATGAGAACCTCCTTGCTTACGATGCTTGGGCTGGGCTGGAGAAACAGAGGATGACTTGGGTACGGCTTGTGCACTGGTAGATGCAGATGTTCCTGGTTTGGATGTCGACTTTTTAGGAGCCTGTTGCACTGGACTTTGTTGTGGGTGTGGGGGTGTACGCGCTGTTATTGGAGTAGACACATCGCCATTAGTGGCAACAACAGGCGCCTTTACTGATTCTGGTGCTGGTGCTGGCTTTTCCTTAGTGACCACGGGTGAGCTTGGCTTTCGAACGGCACCACCAAAAACATTGGCCCACTCACGATTGTAAACTTCTTCGAGCTGTCGGCCTTCCTCATGCACGTATGTATTCGGTTTATTGAAGGCGAAGCAGTTTCTCAACATCAGCCGCACATCTTCATCGAACTCTTGAGCACTCGTATACTTGTTGGTTTTTAGTTTCCCCTTGATAGTTCCGAGATCGATGGGCTTCTTGATGATGGTCAGATACTGCGGAATTCCCTGTCGAATGGGATCCACTGGCCGTAAAAATTCGAATGCATGTCGATTTTCCATCGTCTTTGCAAGTACTGTAGCGCATTTTTCGCGAAAAGTCTTCTCTCTTTCTGGCTTGCGTTCTGCTGCCTTGGGTATAGAGGCTGATGGAGCGGCAGTCGGTGATGCAGTAGCACCAATTGGTTGCGAAGGACGTGGAGCTGGCGATGGTGTGTGCGCTGATGATGAAGGCACAGATGCTGGAGTTGATGGAGTCGTGGTGGATATAGGCGTGGATGTACGTGGTTGTTGTGGTGATAATACCGGAGCGGGAGGCGATGGCTTTTGAGCGGATGGTGTGTTTGCTTTTGTTGCTGTCAGTGGTGATACGATTGCTGTTTCATTTGTACCTTTTTCGGGTTTCTTTTCGCTTGCCAGCTGCTCAGCACGTCTCTGTTCATGTTCACGGCGCTTCTCCTCCTCTTTTTTGCGAATCACCTCAAGTTCCTTCTCAAGAACTTGTTCAAGATTAAAAGCTTCGTTGTGGACAAAAGTTCCTGGACCGTTATAGGCAAAGCAGTTGTTGAGCATCAACCGAATATCGTCATCCAGTTGCTGATAAGTGGTATATTCGCCCTTTTCGAGTTTCGTCTATGGTATTGTTACGAATGATTGGGTTTAAAGCTAGTTAGCGAAAGACACTACCTAGAGCAAGAATTCAGACAGATCACATACCCGAATGGTGCCAATATCCATTGGTTTTCTGGTTAAAGTTTCATCAGTTAGAAAACGGCTACATGTCCCTTTTCATTAAAAAAAGTTAATTAAGAATGCTTACTTGATGATCTTGTAATATTGAGGAGCCCCATCAAGCTCTTCATCGACAGGCTGCAAAAAAGCGAGCGCAGACTTATGCCTTTGGATTTTGCCAAGGATCCTTCGGCACTTTTTGAAATCGCTCACTGTCATGCCATCAGGCTTCTTACTAGTAATCCTAGGAACAGCCAAAGGAATCTGCTTGTTATCAGCGGCAGCAGACGGAGGAGGTTGCTGAGATGCTGCTCCTACTGTTGCTGTTGCTGGTTCTGGTTCTGGTATTGGAGTAGGCGCTGCTGTGGAGACAGGTTGGGGAGAAGGAATTGATATAGGAGCAACTGGTGGTGGTGCTGGTTGGGCAACGGTTGCTGGTACCTCCGGTGGTGAACGTAGTTTCTTCTGTTGCTGTTTGTTTTCTTTGTGCGTTGGAGCAACAGTATTTTCCAGAAGACTTGGTCGTTTTTCTGGTCGAGCTGGCGCTTCACCTAATGGAAAGAAGTGAAACGAGGATGAGTGAATATTTCAGTCTCTTTTTTCACGCAGCATTAGCGCCGTGCTTACCATTCTCTTTGGCCGTTCCTTTTTGGGCACGATACTTCTCATGTTTATCAGCCTTCTCGCGTTTATCATGCTTTTCATGTTTCTCATGCTTGTTGATTTTATCATGCTTTTCGTGTTTGGATTTGCTGATTTTAAGCACGGGCGGTGAAGGCATAGCAGGTTCTGATACATCTTCAGCGATATCTTGTACGAGTGATGGCATACGAATTGTGACCTTGATACCAACATCGACCGGTTTGTACATGTATTCACAAAATTGAAGTAAGCTCTTACGTACTGAGTGATCAAGCGATGCACTTTCGGTGGAACTAAATAAGAAAAATCATCACAATTTAGTAACTCTACGTGAGATCATATAAATTCTTGGCAAAAAAAATGATGAATTGGCACATACTTTAGCAGTCGCCATATATTCTCTTGTAGCTCCATATTATCTTCAAACTGCCTTCGCAGATTTTCGATATATACTTCATCCTCGTTCTCATTTGCTTTTTGTGATAACTGTCGTTCCTCCAATAAAGATCCACGGCCCTCTTCTTCAGCAAACTCTTCCACAAATCGACTCTGCGTAACTTCTTGCTTGTCACGCATTGCAGGACCCAGCCATGCCAACATGGCACGGGCCACGTAGTGGGAAACATAAGGGCATGGGTCGTCTTTGATGACGTTGAGGAAATATTCAGTGAGGGTATTTTCGGTCAGTCCACAAAGAACGAAAAGGCTGTCGAACGCGCACAAACGAATGCCTAAATAGTTGCCATATCTATTTTCGTCCAATTCATAATAAAGTCAATAAAATTTGCCGTATGCACTGGATAGAATGTATAACAGGGATATCCATCACTACTACTGACCTTGTGTATTGCAGAAAATGGTTCAGACTGGGCTCAAGCACACCGTTCAACATTAAATTTGTTAGAGCCTATATACACCACCACATATGTTTGTCATTTGTTGTTAGCAACATATCATCCACCAACCTTACTCGACTCATCAACAGTTTTGCACTTTGAACAAAATCAATCCTTACCTTGATGCAGCTTACGGTTACGATATTGTGGTAAGTAGGGATCACACAATCCAGAGTTCTAAAACGCTCAATTTCAGATACTGCAGCAGCCAAAAGTTGCTCCCCTTCGTCATCGTCGATTTGCATGCTATCCGGATTGGAAGTGTCACGCATGGGTATAAAAGCATCTCCAAGAGCAGATATGATGGTTGCAATATAATAACTGTCAGAAAACTGTATATAAATCAGTCAGTTGAATAATCAGTAAACCATATTCACACTTTTCCTTTCGACAAACATTATCCTTCTATTACTACAATAGCGTCTTATATACCTCATTGCCGATGTTGTCGTTGTACTTTAGAAGATCCAGCAGTAGCTGTCGAACTTTTATTGGTGTAACACCATTTTCATCTCGTACTTGCGAAAAAGCAATAACCAGGCCTTTTTGGACAAAATAGTCTGGCAAGGTGCTAAAGTTGTTTGGTTTTGGTATTGCGTGTGTCCATGTCAACGGGTCTTCCGGATCAGATGGAGAACCTGCTGGCGGGAAGCAATATCGGCCTTGGAACATTTTGTATAATTGATGTAAACCGACCCAGTCGTTGTCACCGCCACCGCACTAAACACCCGTAGTTTAGCAAAGTCATATATAGTCGTTTAATCATTATTAACAGCCCCGCTCTTTTAGGCTTCGAGAATATATTTTACCTTTGCTAGAGCATAAGCTGACTCCATTCGAATCTTGTAAAAACATTTCGAGTCCAATAGCGCACGCAATAAACTTGTAGATGTGGGTAATGATGGCATGTTTTTGAGAGCTTCAATAGCCTATGAAGGAAAGAAAATACCCAATGTAAGTTTCCTATTTCGTACATTTCCCATACAATCCTGTACCCTACACTTGAAAATAATAAAGTACCTCGTATTGAGCTACCACATCTCGATCCTTAGTCAACTGGCCGGCCCACATGTAATCTGGCTGCTTGAAATCAATCGTACAGATCCATTCAAAATCGGCATCCAGTCTAATCCAATCAAACATAGCACTGGCAGCACCGCTGGTATCTTCTTCATCTTGACCCCACTCCACAACCTTCCATATCTCGCGCTGCTTTGGATCTTCAAAAACGGGCATGCCCAAACCGAGTGCTGGAATAATGCCGAGTACATTTGTTGTACCACCTTCACCATCCTCCTTGTCGGCATCTTCTTCGGCAACTGCTGCTGCAGCCGCTGCTTGTTTTGCCAGAAATCTTTTCGTGTTTCGACGGATACGTTTGTATTTGGTATTGAATTGCACTTCGAATTTGTGCTTGGCCGATTGAATATCCAAAATATGCTCGTAAGGAGTGCCGTCTGCTTCGTGAATACGTACAGTCAAATTGCCGGTGAACAGTGGTGTTACTAGGTCCTGATAATCGATCGATCCATTGCCTCCGTTAACACCATTCGCTCCTTCCACATTCATATCCGTCGACGGTGGATTGTGTTTGCTGGAACCGAGACATGCATTACTGTTCTCTTGGCTCATGTAAAATTCGACGACCATCTTTTTGCGGTTGAAATGGAACGAAAATGTGAATTTTGGACAGCCGCTCCGGTAAATCCATTGATCCGCGAATGTTTTAGTGTCAACACCACTGAGTTTTCGGCATAACTTCAAAAAGTTATGTGTGCTGAGCGCGTTGTGGACTAATTCACCGCTAATGGCTGATACGAGGAGTTTGGAAATAACGCGAGCCAGGCCAAGTGTGGTGCCTGCTTTGCATATCCGTCTGTCCAGCATATATAGAACTAGGGGTGCCTTCAAATCGATAAATTCGAGATCTTCAGGATCAAGAGGCGATGGTAGCGCTGGGTTGTATAACGGAGGTCGGTTGACATCGAGCGTGCAGCAAAGCTCCATATCCTTTCAAAATCATTACGCGTATAAGCCAAAAGAAAAGTGATTTGCATAACACAAAGCAAGGTACTTACTCTTTTCATGCGTAATCGGAATTCGCTATTACCCAAGTGGCGCTTGATAAAGTAGGCACCCATCAGATTCGATAATCCATAGACGAGCCATGCGTCTGGCCACGACTTCTGAACAATATGAATACCGAACCATTGCCTAGCCAGAGCTAAACTCAAAACCCTTCGCGTATTATAAGTCTGATCGATGATATCAGGAGGATGTAATAGACGCGAGCTAGATATTTTGCACGTTGCGTAGACATGTTAGTAAAGGAATATCAATAACTTTCTCATAGCAACGCTACCTGTAAATTGTAAGAGAAGCGCTAGAGCTTGTTTCACTCCATGCGTCCTCTACAAAAACCAGTTTATAGTCTGTAAATGGGTATGATCCGTACTCCTGAGCATAGAAATGCATGGCCTAAAATAAAACATTGCACATATAAACGTAATCAGTATAACGATCAAAATCAGCCACAAATCCAATTCTAAAGGAGGAAAATCTGTATAGAAAAGAAACTTGCATGCATCAAGAAGCTGCAGCTAACAGTAAGGTCTTCTCGTTGCCCTGGTAGCGCAAAAGCATAAATGTTGGCCATCATGTTGATTTCCGCCATAAGACTCTGTTGCTGATTTTCATCTAAATCGGCTCCTGTCAACACTTCTTCTTGCAGCTGCGCAGGCGTTAATTTGATCATCTCAAAAGGTCCGACGGCAAAACCGATAAATGGTGCTGCTGTTGGTATCGAGAGATTATAGCGTACGATTTTACGTGAAACGTCCAGTGGATGAACGACCTAATCAGAGGGGAAAAAACACGAAAACGTCGTTGTCAATCTCTTTCTGCTCCCTTCTAGCTTGTTCTCTCAGGGGCATACAACATTTTCTCATGTAACAGCATCCCCTGCAGTCTCAAAAAGGTCAGCACCCCTTTCCTCATTAAAAATTATAAAGAAAAGACTCACCTGTTCCACCATGTCGCCACTGCACACTACCATTGCCGGATACTCGTCTTCGCTTATATCCTCACCATCGTTTTTGTAGGGTAAAGAGCCCAACTTATTCGGCACAATGAAGTCCATTTCCCAAGTACATCGGTCATGGATCCTATCGATACATGGTAACCAGGAACGCGTTGCTCCAGGCAGCGGTTGATTTATGGTATACAAATGATGGTAACGCTAATTACAACAACGTAAATCTGATAAGTTGTCCAAAATAACCTTGTTACACTTTTGCAACCGTAGACGTCATAATTACTCACATAAGGTGCAACAATTTCATCAGGGTCAACAAATATCACTCCAGTCCGTGGATTTTCCAGTGTATATTCGACTCGAACGGTGATTGGCGCGTAGGTGGGTGTTGATGGTAAGGGGTCGTTCGTCTTGTCGGCTATTACAGTGTCATCATGTAATGCTATAGATTTGAGCCCAATTATTACCATTTCTCTGTTAGTAAGGAAGCTTCTACTATCATTGATTGGTCCCAATTTCGTTTTCTATTTATCAATTCTCTCTTTTGCTTACTCGTCATTGTGTCGTGCATATACACATCGTTCGTTACCAAGCGGGCTTCGGATTCGGATATCTACATGAAATTGACACGTTAACGAATATGATCTTGATATCAAAAAGTATACCTTAATTACCTGCTTGATACAACTGTCCGGGATGGGTATTAATAATTCGCCTTCGTCGGCTTCCCGTAATGCGTTCAAATATTTGCTTTTATATACATGATGATGGGCGACCGTTGTGTTCTCTCCCAGCGTGAGTTCCGAAACAGGGTCTGCATAACTGTGTCTCACTCGTTGTTCATTAACTTCTACAGAAGTGATTTCTGTTTTTTTTTGTGTTGTCGATTCGATATATTATAGTAATGAGTCGTCCGTACTTTCTGCAGATATAGATCATAATGTACTGATTTATAAAAATTAAGGAGAAAGAACGTACTGCACTGCCGACAGTTGATCCGAATGTTGCTCAGTCTTTTTTGCAAAGGCTGGATGGTGAGTTCCGCCGAGCCCTTAATATATTATGTTAGATATTTACATAATTCTATTTGTATGTCCTCGTTTGCCGATGTAAATGTAAATTCAGCTGAGAAATAAAATTTATTACCTTGATGTGTCGCCGAGTCGGATCAATGTCCAGCACGAACCGTTCATGACTTGTATAAACGAGCAAAAAAGAATATGAAAAAGATAATGTTAGTATAATAAGAGAAAAAACAAAAGGGCAGTTATATCAAAACTTCCATCGGAACTAATGGGTAAAAGATACTTATAAAGTAAACGCTCGCTGCATCACAAGATTCCTGGCGACGTATAACGGCTTGATATGTACTTATTGTATAAAGCGCTAGAACGGTTCAATCACAGCAAAGGAGTGAGAGTGTTCGTGAGCTCTTTGGCTAATTATCACGAATTTTGTGACTGTTATATACAATAGCGCACTAGCTTCCTTTTCGGACCCCTTTAAGGATTGACCTGCCAGGCCGAATATGTTCAAAGAAGCAGAGGAAGAGGATACAAGTGGTGATACTCACAAAACGAGATAAAAAAAGTACATCAATCCACTTTTATGAAATATTCGCCTTAATTTATGATTTTCGCTGAGAATCTTATTTTGCTATAGGACTTGCTATGGATACGACATTTCGTTAGTGAGCTCCTACGTTTTTAATACCGTCGTTTGACTTCCTCTGTCTCGCTGAACGCCTCATTCTAAATATCATACATAATGCGTCTTCAGATGAGGCTTGTTTGATAATGGGTGCCAAAATGGATGGTCTTTGGTTTACCGATATTGAGTAGACTGAAAACTCCAATATTTGAATTGGGATGTTTTATTGAAAATCATTGCATCATTGTAAACAATCAAATTTCTTTCTTAGCTTCTTTATTATAGTAAATGGAGTACGAGATGCACAAGCCGTCACAGTCTTTATGCATTTCTCGTACTGTGTAAGTTTTGATCATCATGAGTTACCGAGATCAGGCACAAGCACTAATACAGTGCTTGTAAATTAAGGGCACGAATAGACAATGGCGTTGAAGTAATCTATTAAAACATTGGCCTGTGATACTGCTTGTTTTGCGCGCCCGATGAATGCACAAACTCACGTTTTGCCTTGAAATTGACGACGAGGCGGTCTAGAATGACACTTTATGATCTACCTTGTAATTACGTTCGTTGTATTTTATATTCTCAGCTCGATGACCGTCAGCTGTAGAGTGGAGATTATTGGACGAGTCCCTAACCACAGCGCCTGCATTATAAAACTCTCGCATCAGCTTTTATTAATGCTCGCATGACTTTGTTTCGTTCAGCAATTGATTCTGCGTATATCCCATCACTAATTTGTGGTCAACAGTGCTATTCTCTCTCATCCCATAGAGCGGATCACGTCTGTTTTGACTACATATGATTAGGTGATCGTTATCGATAGAAACTTTTAGGGTGAATGATATATGCGGCGCATCCCTTTAAAAGATCTTTTATGAAGGTGCACAAGAGCCGCCGGTAGGCACACTACTTATCGTATGATCCGAAAAGATTATGGTCGCTTTTGAGATTGCTGCACGTTAAATTGCGAGAATTGGTGACGTAAGCAATAGTTTCATTGATTTGTGTGTATATGTGCCTTTCTCTTTTCTACTTTGGCCATGGCGCTCGACTTGACTCTGGATTCAATTGAAGATGTCATTAATGTCGTCGAGTTATTACAGTCAATGTACTATGGAGAAGACGAATTTCGTTTTCGAAGCGAACGAGATTTGACGACATATCGTGAATTACAGCAGCTCCACGAAACCAATGACGACGATAAACTGAATCAGACAAAGAACGTGGGAGAATCGATCAGTTTTGAAATCAAGCTTCTTTTATCAGCTCGTGACCAGGAGCTGCCGCTGTCAATCTTTTGTCAACTGTCCATCAAACGACAGGCCGAGTTCGATCTTGCTATTGCTTCTGCCAACAGCGCCTGGCTATCGCGCGAAGCGCATCGTTCATTAACAGAGCTTTTGCAGGCGTACGAAGCTAGTGCAGATGACCGTGCTTCATGCATCCTTGAAAAAATTCAGTATGTTCAGGCCGAAGCCGAGCCTATCGCTGAACGAGCATTAGCCGAACAAGAAGCCATTGACAAAAAGAAAAATGCCAAGGATGAAGGTCCCTGCACATTTGTCCGGGAATGGATTTGGTTTCCTATGATTTATACCCGAGAAAAGGTACTGCATAGCAACGCATTATTCCCCTAGATTTTGGTGGATCGTGCCAATAAACGCACCTCGTCCGTGGCCATTAATTATGATGAACATTATAGCGTGGACATATTATCGACTGGGCACCAAAATACAAGATCACTGGATTTCTGTGCCCAGGAAAACCAGGTGCTATGTGTCTAGAAGGAAAAGAGAAGGTCAGCTTTGGAAAGACCTGCAATTTAGAAAAGATGTGAGCCACCATTTACTAAATGTGTAGTTTGATAAATGTATCTGCAATAGGATGTATCACGGTTCATCAACGATATCAAAACCGTTTCTTGGTCCGATATACCAGCTTCACATCGCAAAATGTCTTCCAAATGGCAAGAGAAAACGGAATGCGAATCAGTTGCAGCAATGAACGCTTTAAGGCGGTTTTGTGATATGACTGAGCATAAATTTGATATTCACGGCCAATTCGCTAACCACAATGACCTTAACAAGCTGCAAGACTGGATGAAGGAAAATGGATGTGGCGAAGCATTTGATCATTTGTTCGATTATGATCTGCAGAATTAGAAAACCAACAACTATTAACTATAGATTTTATAATAACACATAGAACTTACATAGTAATTGTATAATAATACATTCTTTTTTATTTCATGTCACTTTCTTACTAACAACTTTCAAATAGCAATGGCTATAACGCAAGCTTGTTGGTATGCTCTACATATTGAGCTTAGCCATGATGTGCTTCGCAGAACTTATGATGTACGTTGGGTTGTATCGGCACGACATACTATAAGCAGAGGGTATAACACACGTAAGTAGACTTATTTTTTTCTTTCGTCATTCACTTACTAAAAAACGGCACTGAAAGCAACTTGATGCAATGACCGGTCTCATACGTTTCCATTCATAAAATGCAGGTACAACTCGCTATACGTCAAGTGAAGCGGAAAATATGCCGACTTTGTCAAACGTCATTGTCGTCGATATGTCGATATGTCGATACGCAGTAAAAGTCACAAGCAATTAACGGGGCAATGCACTTCGATAAAAATCGTGAATTTTTATTCCACCTGTCCTTTCCTCTTTCTAATTTTTTGCGAACTATTACCAGGAGCTTTATGGCAAGCACAATTACATCTAATTCCTGTACTAGTGCTATTACTAGCGTCTACATCGACTCTACATACAATAACCGCCGATAGCATCCATCCTCACTTATTTTCCGCCACATTTCCCAAAACAGGAATCGTACAATCAATTTTCGAAAATGATGAGCAAAATCACGACCCAGGTCGGGTGTGCTTTGTGGATGCATTATCAGCTCATAAAACTTACTTTTAGCAAGCTGAAAGATATGGTTTACCGCTTTGGTGCAGGTTTACAGGGTATTGTAACTTCCAAGTTGGAGATGTTCTAGTGGTGTACGCACCAAACATGGTATGTGTCTTGATCATGAGATTGTATATTGTGTGCCGACTAAGGTGGCAGCTGTATTTTATTGTTTCTGGGATATATATGCAACTTTACATAAACACTAAACGCATAATATTTGGACACTCGTATTACAAAAATAGGTTGACTATGTATGCGGTGCCAGTATGTGGTACTTTGATAACAGGTCGGCAACTATAATTTTTTAAGGATATATGACTTTTTGTTACCATCCGAATTTGCTTCTTAGAGATAATAACTTTATTTTTTTAGGTGGAATTGTCAGCCCATCGAATCCATCGTATACAGTAGAGGAGTTGGTGTACCAAATTCGAAAAACAAGTGTCAAGGTTCTTCATATCACATGCGTCTAATATTGATAAGGCACTCCTTGCAGCACAAAGTGCAGGGTTGGAGAAGTCATCTATTTTTGTTTTTCGAGACGAAATGGTTGAAGGAATTCAGCCTTTCTCAAGAGCTTTGATTGGCGAGCATATAATAAAACCATTCGAGTTCAAATCTGTAAAGGAAGTACTAGATACTGTTGCGTTCCTTTGCTTTTCATCAGGGACTACAGGTAATGTATATAGGGAATCTGGGCCAAAACTTATCTCAGTGCTCAATTACTAATTTGTAAGTGTTTTTCCGTATCGCGTTATAGGAAAGAGCAAAGGTGTAATGTCAACGGAAATACAATTGCCTCAAAATTATAATTGTACTATCAAACGTTAGCGGTGTCACGCAGCATTATTGACTGTCAATATAATCTATTTATGTTTATAGGCACGGCAACATCATGTCCAACATATACCAATACTCGGCTGTAGAATCTGGGTATGATACTACCGAAAACCGACATCTTGTGTTCTGTCCGCAATTCCTTTCTACCATATTTACGGGCTGACTATATGCTTTCTCGCCCCACTCTACATGAAGGCCGCCATTTATGTGCTTCAACGGTTTAAAAACTTGCTTTTTTGTGAGGCTGTGCAAAAATACAGAATTACCTTTACATATGTGGTCCCACCTATCCTGCTTTCTTTAGCAAGAGACCGTGCCGTTGATCGATATGATTTGTCTTCATTGGAAGCGGTGTTAACTGGTGCAGCACCTGCTGGTCCTGACTTGATACAACAGTTCCAAGAACGGCTCAAAGGAGTCGTAGTAAAGCAAGCATATTGTTTGACAGAAGGATCGGGAATTATCTGTGTTCAGCGAGAAAAAGATCTTGCTAAAGGTAAAATCGAAACACTTGACTGTCGGCGTACGGTATATAACCTCGTCGTCGTTTACTGTAGGCTCAGCAGGGGTGCTTGTACCTGGAATACAAGCCAGAGTAGTTGATGAAAAAGAATATGGTACATACAGAACAAAATTTCACTTGCTAATGCCGATATATAATGGGTTGCTATGCATAGAATTCACTGATTCTATGAATTACTTGATGTAGGATTTGATAGCCGTGGGGAGCTACTGGTGAAGGGACCAAACATCATGAAGGTATGGACATGTACAGTAGTAGAAATGATTCTTCATCTTGTCAGCCTTTTGTATAATACGAAATACCAACAACGGTGTGGTATTAAATGGTGCTTGTAAATATACACTTCTTTCATATATGCTCATTAACCCAGGGATATCTAAATCGTCCGGAAGAAACAGCACGGTGCATCGATTCTAACGGATATTACCATATCATACCGGAGATAAAGCAATGATTGATGAAAGCGGACATATTTTTATTGTTGATCGCATCAAAGAGTTAATCAAGTACAAAGGTTTTCAGGTTGGTGCCAAACTTCTCTTTTGATAATTAATGACCAGAGACCATACTTGCTATATGTATATACTTAGTTATGACTTGATCCACTTTTTGTGTATAGGTTGCCCCTGCTGAACTGGAAGACTTGCTTGTACGTGACAGACATGGTGATGGTGATGGAAGTGGTGTGGTTCGGTTGATGGTGTAATCACTTAATGTCACATACGTGGGGGACTACACTTTTTCTTCGTTTCACGGTTGACTCTGGTGGTAATAACGAGTTGTGCTATTCTTTGTTATACAGCTAAAACATCCGAATGTTGCCAATAGCGCGGTTATTGTTCATTATGATCTAGAGTAAGCTAGTGAAGTTCCCTGCGCCTACATAGTGCTAATACAGGGGGTATAGGGAAGCGAAGAAATAGTCACGGCATTGAACCAACTCGTAGCAGAAAAAGTTGCTGCCTACAAGCATATTTATACTGTAGTATTTTGTGATCAACTTCCAAAAACTGTACCTGGAAAGACTCTGCGGCGTGTGTTAAGAAAGATAGCTCCTTCTATTCATCACTAGTCTATTATCCTTCAAAGCAGCTAAAAAAATAATCAGACAAGAATCGACATGCTGTTGAGCTTTATAATGACGCAACGAGTTTTACATGCTGTAGTCGTTATCAACAAAACTACAATGAGCTATTGGTACATGAGAGTTCTTTTTTAAGAATAATGTAGTGAGATTTTGTTTTGAGACGATGTGGCTGGGGATAATCAAAAGTACCAACTTCTTGAAAGCCAAATACTTGACAAACCCAAGCTCGCAGTTTTGTTTTTTCTTCAAAAATACGCAAATACGCAACATTATATCCCAGTTCGTTCTTGGCATAGTTTAGCGTCGTTCGTGTCAACATGTGACCGACTCCAGAGGACTGTAGCTCTGGTAAAACGGCAAAATTGTGCAAAAGACAAGCGTCCTTATTGTTACTGTTGCTACCATCTTCGTTTGGCCCTACCGACGTTGCACCCACAACGATCTCATCTTCTTCGGTTCCTTGACTGTTATCGTGAGTCCCGTTCGTTGAGCGTTTCCTAAATGCACAAAAAAGGGCTGAAGTTTTCCCATCACTTTCAGCGATTAATCGCTTGATGTCTTCAGAAGTAATTCTGTCGCCGGAAACGATATCCTTGTTAGACACCCATCCATCTATTTTTTCCATCAATTAATATGTCATTGAGCTCGTTATGTATAGAAAATGGTATATTTTCCATTACAGATCACTGTTTCACTTCGTACTTCCTCTTCCGCCAAATGCTTTGTTCACCATGTCGACTATACTTTGCGTATGCTTCACATCGTCAGATGTTGTCTTACGTACGTATATGGTATCCAACCGTTCGGGCACCATTTAGAAAGAAACGTTGATTGATTTTAATCGGCAGCATGTACCCCTTTATATAGCGCTATAGCGCCCGCGGGACGTCATGCGTCTGGGATCGGAAATACTGTATATGAAGAACTACGTAGACATATGCAGCTTCATGCAGTAGTACTCGTAGTGCCGAAACCTACAGCAAGACATTAATTAATTCTAGAAATAAGTACATATCGTATATCTGTTATTATGACAATATTTTAGTAAGTCATAACAGTAGCAGCATCTTTGGTAACAAGCTGCCACCGTTCAAACAGTGGCATAGTAGCATGTTTCGTTCCAGAAAAATATTATAGCTGTTATGTAGAATGTTAGCATCAGAGCAATGTATGCAGGTTTAGTTGGACATAACAGCAGCCAACAAGGATGATGATGGTGTCTAACGGTAAGAAGCTCTGCATTATTTCATCTGTAGTATAGTACTTGTACTGTTACTAGACAACATTGACCTAAGTCACTTTCTTCAGGTGTCAACGTGTAACCCGCATTATTTTTCTATTTTGTGTATAAAGGATTTTATCTAACATGCATACAAATAATTGGCGAAACTATAATAAACCTTTGTAAAACAATTCTCTCTTTAATACAACTACGGCTGCATCCCTGTTGATCTTATGACGTCCTGTATATTTTACAGTGTAAATCTCTTCAAATCCTAGCGCCCGTCGACACCAATCAAGCAGTTTCGGTTTTGAGTCGAGGACCATTAAATACGCTGTCGTATATCCTGACTCCTTTGCATACTTTAGTGCTTCCTGAGCTAGAAAGCTGCCTAGACCACGCTTTCGATATTCAGGGGAAATGGCGAAGATTTCGAGGATGCAACTATCCTTGTGGCTACGGAAATTATACGGGCCGATTTTCACTGCACCGACAATGACTTCTTCGTACTTGCCGTGCTCTTGTACCCACTGTTGATCGAAAGCGAACCAGAGCGCACTCGATTTTCCACCACTTTCAACTATCAGGTTTTCAATCTCTTCGAATGTAACGCGCTCGTTGTCGGGAAAGATTTCCGTATCGGAGACTAAGTCACCTTTGTTTGATTATATGTTCACAATGTTCCGTCGAGTGATAAGAATAAAATTAATATCATTTGAAAAGGTTATACTAGACTCGATGTAAACTGCACTTACAGCTGTCACTTCGAAATGTTCGGTTCACCAAATTGACGATGCTTTGCGTAAGATAAATGTCATCCGGCGTTGCTTTGCGTATATAAGTTCTTTTGTTCGTTTCGCCCATCACAATGCTAGCTCCTCAAAAAAAAACAATATGCACGTCTTGCATCGGTCCATGTTCTCTTTTATATGCTTACACTTTACGCCCTCCGTACACAGTCACACGAAAAGCTCCTTGATACCATTTCTTTGGGAAGCCAGATGCATGATGCATCTACGCACAAATGTTTTCTCACGCTTTTATTTTTTAATGGCATGTTAGACTTATCACTGATGGCAGAACAGAGATGCTGTTAATGAAACAGCAAAGCAACTTCATATATTGGTAACCATCTCTATAAAATATCGACAAAATAATCCGCGTATGATATAATGTTTTAACCGACTACGCACTAATATTACATGATAAGCCGCTTCCATCGACGAAGAGAATGATAAAAACACCAGCGCAATATACACATATTACGCGCTACTTGCTATTCATTACTATAGCTCTCCGCTATTGATGGAGTGATTTATCTTAGAGACTGAAGAAGCTATCACTGTAAAATAAAGGTGTTATGTAGAGGAACAAAACAGGTTTGTTGTCAATATAATCCATTGATATACAACATTTATGCAAACTTGGTGAAACAGAGAGTTCTATGATATCAGATATTTGATTCGGTTGTTAGTGACCTATCCTTGATTGATGATGCTTTTTTAATCCATCAAACATGCTGAGAACAATACTGCTATGCTAACTATGCTAAGCACATCCTACCACGTGAAGTACATATGCTTTTTTATCCGCCGTAGTAAAACTATGAAAGAACCTGTCAAATTTATATATGTAAGACGAGTGCACAGTCTGAATTTATTGAATTGTTTGCTTTATATTGAAATCACTGTTGTAGCACAAATTGCATGAATGTCGTTTCCATATCTGTTACACTTTAATTTTTGAAGACAGATGCACTGATTTTACTATTTATTGGTAGACAAAAAATATACTGCTGCATTGTTATTACTGCTTGCACTGAAAATACTATTGCATTTCTCGTATATGAACAAGTAAAAAATGAGCATCATTATGAGCTAATATAGCCCATGCGTTTTTTTCCTTTCTCTCGTTCCTCAGGATCGACTTCTTCTTCCTTTCCTTCCTCAGGATCGACTGCTTCTTTCTTTTGTTTCTTCGTATCCACTTTTTCGGCAGTCGATGCTGCTGGTGGCGCTGTTGTTGTTGTTGTTGTGGCTTGAGCTGACGACGACGACGAACACGCAGCCGCAGCCGCGGCCGAAGAGGATGTTGTTACTGGGTGTGTTTTTCTTCCGCCTTGTAGATTCAACCGTATGTATTCAGAAGCCTCGTTAAAAAGCTGATTTTTCATCTGGACTAGATAGTCAGCAAGGGGGTCGTCCGGGAGTGATATAAAATAAGGAGGTCGTGAAAGACAATTTTCCATATCTTGGGTAAAATTGAAAAGGTTTTCCAAAAACTGGTAACGATCACTGATCATTGATAGATTTTTGTTGGCGATTTCAAAATCCTCATAGGTGAGCTTGATGACTGCTGACAGAGTGGCCAACCAAGGAAGTAGTCTATTACATGTACAAAATGCTTACTTGTGAGTTGGTTTCCTTGTTCTTCCTCGTCACGTAGTAACAATAGCATTTTGTCTTGAATTATACGTACGTTTCCGCGACCTTTTTGCTGTCCAGAGTCGGCGATGCACTACCCGATCCGCGGGCTCTGGGGGATCTCTCCTCTTCTCCTTCCTTGTCGCCACGGTCCACTTGCTCGTGCGCGCGCTTGGAGCCTGCCCGCAACGGGGATTGCTGCTTAGGAGTACCTGCATTAGATTATTGTTTTTCTTGGTTATCATAGTAAAAAAGGAAATCCCGTTGTTTGATGTTTCATCATTGCTGAATAACACAAAGTGAATAATGAGACATACCAGATGCAGAAGAGGTTGATAGTTCGCCAGATTCTCCTTCAATTGTTCAGAATGGAGTCGTGTTAGAATTACGCTGAGATTTTATGTCAGCAGCAGCATCCATTAAAGTAAATCGTACATACCTTGTCCCGGAACTGCGCGGCCTTTCCCTTTGTCGACGCGGCTTCGTTGCTGCTGAGGTCCTTTACCAGACCGACTTTCTTGGGTACGCTCTTGCTGTCCAGAATGCTCTTCACCCGTCTGCTCTTCACGGGGCTGTCCTTCACGCTGTGGCGATCCAGGTTGCTGTGGAGTTGGTGGGCTTGCAGCCTCTTGCTGCTGAGGAGAACTTGCTGACTCTGGCGTTGACTCTAGCGATGAACAAAATTCCATTTTGATGGGATAAAAGACAGAAAGAGAGGTTGGTGAGGCAAATGGTTAGAGTAGAGTAGGTAAATAGAAGGTGTAGTGTGTATATTATTAACACGTTTTGCATTTGATATGCCAGTATTTATATACGGAGAGAAAGACGTCGAGACAATAGTACTGGCTTCTGGTTACAATAGCTTCGGGTATATGAGGTGCAGCAGACTCATTGTTTTCAATTTATACCATGCAAAAGAGCCGTGTTCCTTCTCGCTATTGTAGGAACTAACAAAGAAGCAAATGTAAAGGTTTGTTCTTCTGTCATCGTTATATACAATCACAACACTTCAAAATGGGAAAGGCCGCAGGATCCATCTCTGTTGAACAGAGAGTAAGACCATATGCTTTCATTGTTATTGTGACCTTGTTTGTAAAGTTAGAAGTAGTACTGTATATGTCAAAGATTGGAAAGAAACGAACCACTGAGCATAAAGATGCTACTCATTGATTGAGCTTTAGACTACATGCAGCTGTTGGTCGGCAGCATGAACGATACATGCTCAATATATAGGTCTTTTCTGAAATGCAGCACAATAAGGTCGACGGTTGTGGCCCATTTCTTCTTCTCTTCCATTGGTTAGCCCTGCGACGGCCTTGTTCCTATGATATTGTCGTCTTTGTTACACAAATGAACAATGTCTTACTGCCCATAATTGTTATGCCCGTGATTGCCCTGAAGGGTGGGCAGTCTGATGCGTTTTCGATTATGCGTACTGTCCATGGTGAATTCTTTCAGGGCACTGCTGAGTAGATGAACATTTCTTTAGTCTTCTTTACCCCTCCAGCAAAAGATACACATAACCTAGCAGCAGTTGTACACAGTGAATTATCAGTAGTACGGGTTGTAAAAATCTACTGTAACGATAGAGACAAGTTAATCACTATGTCTGGATGTTTCTATACTCTCGGTAAAAAAACAACAATGATGCACTTTCTTCATTAGAAATGGAACCGTTAATTGAAACTCGCAATGTTTGGATATGTTAGTATTGTACGTCGCATACAGCAGAAGACGGGGTATTTGAAGCTAATTTTCAGCGCTGAGCGCATACCCTTCCACTGTCATCATATCAAGGCTCGTTAGCGTTTTAGAAACTTGACGACCATTATGTACGGTATAGAGGCAAATGGATTCCATAACTCATTGACATACGTGTGTGTTTGCATATTTCATGCCGGAGCTTGAGCCTTTAACTTTGATACTCACATATGCTTTTGCCAGTGGTGCAAGGGCATTCATTTTCTTGCGATATGTAGTTTAGTTCAAGAACATATTTACGTGATTTAATTTGATGAAAAGCTATGTAGATGGGTTCCGGTTATGGCGATACATTCATTGCACCCTAGGAACTTTTGCTATGAGTCGCTGTGCATTGTGTTATTATAGCTTCTTTAGTAAAAAAACACAAATTATATTTGGAGTTTATGACACTGTGGGTGCTTCATCCTGGGACCATATAATGATACTCGAGACTACGTTATGCAGTTCGACTGTGCGGCTCGAGCGCGCACAAGGAAGCTGAACTAAGTATATCCCAATCCTTCGCATGTTCTAGTGCCCTAATTTGAGTTAGCAGACACTTAATACTTGCGATCGTTACATACTCCATTTTAATCGAGAACAGCTGTAGTACACATTTATCTTTTCCCCGGTCGCTTTGTGCTTATATGGTACTCCATATTTGAACTTTATATATAGTCCCGTTTCATGCTATATATTCATTATGTGTCACTTCTATACGCATCGCTTTCTGTCATCATGTATATGATAAGACTTGGCCATCATGTCATATCCCAGTCATTGCTAATATGACGTTCATAAACGCAAGCGATACAGTAAATCCCGGGCTTGGATCACTACCACCTACTACTTCAATGTGGATGGTTTTGTTGGAAGCAAACTTATCTGGTTCAATTAAACCCTTGTAATGCCGAACAATACATATAATGGGAACTATTACTGTGGAATAAGATGAAAGAAGTAATCATATAGAAAGTTTGATAAAAGATGTTTAATCACGTATGCACAAAAAGGTGCAACGTCAGTTACACGTTATAGAGTACTATGTCACTAGAGATACACTGATTTTTCGTAAACAGTTGCGCTTATAATAACGTTAGCTAAATCGTGACTTTGGGTCCCAGCCAAAGTTGAAGACCTCCACGGGTTTATCTCATTCCACATGGCAGACGAACAAAAGCATACACACTCACCGTCGGATTTTTTGAACACTGTGCTTAACCAGCACGTTCTTGTTAAGCTTAACTCAGGCATCAATTACCGAGGTCAGTCCTATTTTTCTCTTTTAAGCTTACTTACTTCATTCAATTTGATGAATCGATTCGATTTTATGTGGCACAATCGATCCAGCGCGTTGAATCTAATCTGAAGGAAGAATCTCATTCATGTAAAAATATTAGGCGTCTTGGCATGTCTGGATGGCTACATGAACATTGCTTTGGAAAACACTGAAGAATACGTGGATGGAGAATTAACGAATCGATATGGTGACACTTTTATTCGAGGAAACAACGGTAAGTGTGTTACTGTAACCCTTTTAAGCGTATGTTTATGTTTGCGTGGTCAACAAGCCTATACTGATACACTTTTGGTTTTCACTGTATAGTCTTATATATTAGTGCTGAAAAGTCTGAAGGTGCATAATAAAAATAACAAAATGTGTGCAGTTTGCGTGGGATGGATTAATGGCTGGCAATTGATAAGGATTAATCGAGGTTGTGTGTGTGAAAACTGGACAATGTCAGTTTGGAAATTAAACGCTTGGTTCAGGTGTGGGCAGCTCCTAGAGCTATGGGATCAAGTTGTATCCTGTCCATGTATACCGAAGCGAAGATTCAATATAACCTCATTTTCACATGTAGCATATATATCCGAAGGTAGTCCTTGTTGACTTTAGCCTTTTTCTTCGCCAACAATAACAGCCCCGTGTTCACCAGTTCATCCATCACTCAACCAGAATATGTCGAATAGAATAAAAAAGTTAATTTTCATACTCTATTGGTAATAAGTCATTTCATATGCTTTTCTGTTTCGCTGTTGTGCTTGATCTTCTTCAGCCTCCGTGTGTTTCGGCTGCTTTTGCTTTTCCTTGACGGTGCCGAGCATCTTCATATACGACTCCATAAGTTTTTTCATATCCACGCCTTCTTCAGGTACCAAGGCACCATTTTCGTCCACATGAAAGAATGCTACTTCCATCTCCTCTTGTCCGGCACCTCCATGTTGTTGCTGCTGTTGGCCATTACTGCCTAACAACTGCTCTAACGGTAACGTTCCGCCGACTTGCCTTTGCAAATCGTTGATCTGTGCAGTCAAATCCGAAATAAGTGCCAATAGATCCTCCTTTGTGGTCTCTTGTTGTTGTTGTTTCTGGTGCTGTTGATCAATGATCTCTTGCTGTTGCACGCGTCCATATCCTTCCTCTCCTTCCTGATCTGATGAAGAAGCTTCGGGCCCCAGTTCTGGTTCCGCAGGCGCTGCGTCCTCGGCGACCGGCTGCTCCTCCAATCGATGAGCAGGTGAAGATGATGTGAGCATGTGGTCAGGTACGATAGGATTGCACTGAATCTTGTTGACATCGGACTGTGTCTGCGATGCCAGCATCATCTCTTGACATAATCTCGGGGTGCTAATAACCATTTGGTATTGGCATGTGGTAACTTCTTGGAACATGGATATCCGGTCATGGGAATTCATATCACAGTGAAATTGGACTTCAATTGTTCGTGGTTTGCCAGTAAGATCGCATTCAGATCCTCCTGTCCATCGCTGTGTCAGATATCGCTGATCCCCGATATGTTGTAGATTTGTGGATGGTTCGGCCACATCGGTTTGTTCGCTATTGCTGCTACCACTGCTGCTGCTACTACTAGGAGAGAAGAAACCGAGGTAAAATGATTGACCGTGGGGTGTACGAGCAGGCGGATCCGTTTGAATTGCGCTGCGATCGACGTGGAATTGTCTGATATGTTTCTTATGGCAGTATTCATATGTCCAATAACCAGGTTTCTGTGGTTGTATTCCAAAGGTAAACAACTAGCTCCTCTCTTTTCATGGTTACCATGAGCTCTTATAACATACCTGGTAAAGTAGACATCCTTTACTCAGTGGTTCCAGAAGTTTTAAGCCTCGTTCGATAATCTTGTGCGTGTCCTCTTCAGTATTGTCTTTGGTTGTTGAAAAGGTTGAATCGTCTTGCTGTTCTTCAACGTCGGGTATCGTACAGTGAAATGGTTGACCATAGGCACTCATCATTATAACTTGATTTGATTTCTGGGGCTGACTATTGTACGTGAAATGCGTTGACAAAGCATCGTCCTTTGCAAATGAAAGAAATATACACAGGTCATACTGTGTTAGTCTTTATAACCGTTTTTTCTGCTTTGCACTGCTAAAATGTTGATTTACCTTGCTGTTGACATTAAGTTGTTCTTCTTCTTCAACGTCGGCATACACTGAGGATTCTGGGATTTTGTCTTCTGTCAATACCACACGGTACCGCGCATGGGCCACGATATCTTCATAGACAAAGGACGAAGCAGCACAGCTTAATGGCAGCAGACCAGCTAATACTGCCAAAATCGCAACTGAGCAATGCATGGATACAACTTTGTTGGCAAACTGAAAGCGAGCCACGTCGAACTGGTAACACCGATACTCATTTTGGGACGTCTGCATGATTGGTCTGCCGGTGTCTGGATAATTATAATATTTAGGCTTGTTTATCCCCTACTTGTTACTTGATCCACTTCCACCCAAGCTCACTGCAAGATATATCTATATGCTATATTCACAGCAGCTAACCGAGTAATCAATATCATCGTTGTAGCTCTTTTAAATATACATACACAGTGACCGTAGCAGAAGCTAGATGTAAATCATCGTTACTCTAGTCCAAAGCAGTTACAGTTTCACTGAATCGTTACTGAACCTTCACCGATACAACTGCTGGAACACTAACTGTAATTTTATCAAAGCATCGTTCTAAGTTTTAGCCCATATACTTTAATCTAAAAAAAGATAGCTGACGCCACCAAAAAGGAGGGGCCGAGAGATAAATATATAGGCACGAGATAGCTGCTATGTGTATGAACGTTTTATTCGCAGATCTATTGAAAAATAGTCTATATCGTCTTCATTTCCATATTTTAAAGCGTTGGCCGCTAACAGTACAATTTCGCGGATTATTTCGGGTAGCTGTGTGTGGCCAATGTTCACATTTTGCTCAAGATACTCGATCCGTTTGGTGCCCGTGATAGTGATAAAGTCGTTCCCTTGAGCCAGTACCCCAGGCAGTAATCAATTCTGATGGAAGCATCCCTTTCTTTTCGATTATTTTTTCTTTAAATTTCTAGATCTTTGTGGGATTTCTCAGCGAGGAAACGTGGACTTGTTTTACGCCAATCATTTCGGCCAAGATCGTCTGACGATTTTATGGATCCCATTGGGAAACCGCGACCAAGAGGAGAACCTGTCGTCAGTTATACATTTAGAGAAGTGGTACGCATTTAGCAAATAGATCAGTATCTCATAAATACAGAAAAAAAAAAGGAAGAGCATCGTAATGCATATATTATTTTACTCGTCGATAAGATATCTATACTTACTACTGTATGTGGCAATAGATACTCCCAGCTCCCTTGTAGTTTTAAGCGTATCATTTGCCTCAACATCCAGTGCCCAAGGCGAGAATTCTACTTGGTATGATATGCAGAAATTGGATGGATTTTGTGGGCGCTACGCATATTACATACCGATGCTAGTTCCTGTGTAAAACCCCTCCAACAGCCCAATATACCGAATTTCATTGTCTAATTCTACCAATGCCTTCATCGTTTCTTCAATGGGACTAAATCAACAGAACAATAAAAAATAATAAATTTGAAGTTATTCACGACAAAACCAAAACTCACGTGCTAGGATCCGGGCAACGTTGATAATACAAATAGATGATATCCACAGTGGGACGTTTAAGGCTATCGTCGCAGCATTGACGAACATACTCATATTTAATTACTGGCACTCACGACAAATCCGTTTTTTCATCAAGGAGAATAACGAACTTGCTGCACAGGAAAACCTTGTCACGAATCCTTCTTGAAGCAAAGTACCGGCCAAGAAGTTTCTCGAATTCCCAAAATCCATACACAACGGACGTGTCCCAAAAGTTACAGCTGAGTTCCAACGCACGATCCGAAACGGCCATATTGGTTCATCACCCAACTGAATGGCCATATGTTTTTGCTCATGCTTATGTTGTTATTAAACATGGCAAATGTTTTTAATTACATAGCATACACGCTACACCAGTTTAAAAAAGCATGTGCCACATTCAAGAGTGTCATCTCCAAAGAATAACCTTGATATACTTCGTTGAATATATAAATGCCACTCGACAACAGCAAAGCAAACAGGCGGTTTATATCAGTATAAGCATTCCTTTAATGAACTCATGGTTGGCTTGTTCCTTTTCATTATCATTCGTCCTCACTTCCAGCATCATTATCCACTCCTGCTCTCTGCAGCTAAATGCACAATGCAAACTGTATTTAGTTTGTAATGCTTGCGGTAGCTGCAGCTATGTACCGGTAATCCCGTGCTTTACTTCTTTTGGTTTTGATTGCGCAATCATTTTATTCCAATTGAGGCAGTGAGCAAAAAGTGATTTTCTGACTCGAACTATTTTCCGTACTATCATAGAAGCATTCTGTATTAGTTCAAAACGTCATGCGAATGCTTTAAACCCTGTGTAGCACTCGCTATAAACAAAGAGGCGAGCAGTAGTAATTTTTTTAGTGCAGCACTCGACTGGGTGAAAAGCGAGCAAGTTCAACAGCAGCCACGAATTAGACTAATTTGGTCAATGGACGCGTAATTCTATACAAACACAGATTATAGTTTCACGCATAAAAACCGTTATATAAGGCCGACGCAGATATGGCTGTTAGTTCCATAGAGTATCTTACAACTTTCATATTTCTCAACGATGGTAGAGCAAAGAGAGCTTGGAAGGACCGGCACGTTTGTAAACCCACTGGGGTTGGGCTGCATGGGGTAATGCCAAATACTATAATCCGATGAGGAAATGTGAGCAATAAGTTGAAAACTCATCATAGTACTTACTTACTATTCGTCACCGTTTTTAGAATGAGCGATTTTTATGGCCCTACAGATGAGGAAGAGAACATGGCTGTTCTGAGCCGTGCACTCGAACTCGGTTGTAATTTTTGGGATTCTGCCGACATGTACGGCGTAGGTGAGAACGAACGGCTTCTGGGAAGATACTTTTCCAAGTCAGGAAACCGCGACAAGGTGTTTCTATGCACAAAGTTTGGCATCGTTCGGGATGAGAAGACTGGAGCATTTTCGGCCCCAAACGGAAAGCCCGAGTATGTGCGCAAAGCTTGTGAAGCCAGTCTTAAACGTCTCGGCGTCGATACCATCGATTTGTACTATCAACATCGATATGACCCAGAAACGTAAGCTATTGTCAATGTTTATAAAGAAAAGAGTGAATCAGAGACTTTGTAATTAACTTCTATCAAATCGTCCCTGACTTTATAGTCCAATTGAAGATACAGTGAAGGCTATGGCAGAGTTGGTAAAGGAAGGCAAGGTTCGATACATCGGCCTATCGGAATGCAGCGCCGAAAATATCCGACGTGCACACAGGATCCATCCGATTTCGGCGTATCAAGTTGAATTTTCGCCATGGACGCTCGATATTGAAACCAATGGAGCACTTGACACTTGCCGGGAGCTAGGCATTACCATCGTTGCTTAGTAAGCTCATTTTGTGACTGACAGTGTGGGGAGCGCAAATAGCAAAAGAGAAAATTATATTTACGCTACTATTGAACCAAAAGTTCGCCCCTTGGTCGTGGTTTTCTGACAGGCGCCATCAAGTCGCCAGACGATCTTGCTGACAACGATTACCGCAAGTTGAACCCACGCTTCTCACGCGAGAATTTCTCCAAGAATCTGGAGCTCGTAGCCAAGATACAGGGTATCGCTGAAAAGAAAGGTGCCACTACACCAGAATTGGTCCTTGCATGGGTTTTAACCCAAGGAAAGGATTTCATTACTATCCCAGGGACGAAGCGGCTCAAATATCTTGAGCAGAACCTCAAGGGTGGCCAACTTCAGCTGACAAATGAGGATCTAGCAGAAATTCGGAAGGTTGTAGATGCTGCTACAGTAAGCGGTACTCGTTATTGAAGTCATTGACGTGCTTTTACCATGCAGATAAAATAATCCTTGTGAAACCACCATTTCATTAATCATAATAAAGCTTTATAATGATACTCCAACGACCAATTAGCTGAGTATTAGCATGACAAAGTATTTCATCGGATGCTGTTATTGCCAACAATTCTTAAGCATCTATAAACTCTCTTCTACGACGCTCGTTTGCCCATCATAGTTGCATAGTTGGAATTTGGAGCCATCTTATATTTGCACCCAGCTGGTACCAAATCATTAACGAAAGTAAGTAATTACTTAAACACGTGCGTTGCTTCGTTGGATGTTACGTGGTGATTAATAGTAAGTGTCATTAGAATCCTCTTTCTAATTGAACTCTTCCTTGTCTCACTGCAAGCTCGAAAATATAAAATAGCATCCTGAGAAAAATACTGTTGATTCGTTCATCCAAATCGTTATTTTAACTCGACGCAGGTCTCACCTAACCAAAGTTCCTTTCATAGCACTAATAGTTACTACGAACTAGTCTATAACAAGCGAAGACGAGCTTACTACATACCATTACCGTAGTCAGAAATTTCAATTCTTTCCATAATAAACATAATGGTGTCGGTCTCAGATAGTAGCAGATAATCGATTATATAAAATTGGGTCGAGTAATAGCCGTTAAAAGAAATCTGTCATTACAGCGTTGCTACGGCCAACGGTTGCTGGCTAATTCAGCAGGTGTCACACTCAATTGGAGACTTGCCTATTGATCATCTGTAATCAGCAGTGCTTACTGCAGCGATGTATGAAATGATGGCAACTAGCTTGAGAGGAAAATGACTCTAACACCTAATCAGTTTTCGCCACAAGGATAAACACGTTGTTACTCTTGTTATCAAGCGTCGTTTACTGTACCAATTAAGTAAACCGGGCCGCGTAATTTTTA